TGACAGTGAATAATACATGTAGGGGCTATTACGGGCGCCAATATTCCGTTTGATACAAAGAAAGACAGACTAGTTGTAAGCTGTAGAGTTGCCACAGGACGCGTCATCAGCCTACGTCAGCAGCCGCGGACTGCTATAAAAACATTAGCTTTGTGGTTTCACAGGCGCAGTTGACTGCTTAAACTAAACTTTGCACGAAACTTTGACTCTTAAAACCCACATGTGACAAAACGGAACCATCAACATCTCGCCTCAAATTGCATTAAAAGTGACATTCGTGTCTGAATTCGTTCGTATTTTAACTTTTAAAGAAATTCACGGTCCGCCATCTTGGTTTGCTTCGGCTGCCGTGAGACGCGCATGCACAGGTTTGCATTACATCATAAACAGCTGAGGCTGTGCATCTCTTCAAGACAGTGTATCTCAGCGTTACACCGGCTTGCACTTCTCTAACACGGCACTCGCATTGCTACCGCTCGCCGCCATCTTTGTTTTGTGTGTGACGCACCGACGCGCATATTATACGTCGGTGTATTTTTTGCGTCGACGTCACCGAAATCGTCGACGCGTTGTCCCAGCCCTAGTCCCATCTCAAAATTGCCATTTATGGGGAAAGTCCTTGATAGAATTGTCTACCTACAGCTTACTAGATTTCTTATAATCAACAACTCATTTGACATGTTTCAGTCCGGCTTTAGACCCCACCACAGCACTGAGACTGCTCTCGTCAAGGTGACAAACGATATCCGGCTGAACACTGACGCAGGCAAAGTCTCAATCTTAATCTTGTTAGATCTGAGTGCTGCCTTTGACACTGTCGAGCATGAGATCCTCTTACAGAGACTAGAGGACTGGGTTGGCGTCACTGGCACCGCCCTAAGTTGGTTTAGGTCTTACCTTGAAGACAGGAAGTACTTTGTGGAGATTGGAAACTGTCAGATCATAGGGGTCGATCCTGGGAACTCTTCTGTTCAATCTCTACATGCTGCCGTTAGGTCAGTTAATACGCAGAAACGAAGTGTCCTATCACAACTATGCAGACGACACTCAGATCTATGTCTCACTGACTGCAGGAGAACATGGACCAGTGGACTCACTCCTTCACTGTATCCAACAGATCAGTGAGTGGATGCAAAATAACTTTCTTCAGCTAAACGCAGACAAAACTGAAATGATTGTCTTTGGTCCCCAGAAACAAAGAGAGAGCGTCATCTCACCTACAGTCTCTCCCTAAAACCTTCAAACAAGGTCAGAAATCTAGGGGTAATACTGGACTCAGACTTACATTTTAATAGCCACATCAAATCAGTAACATCAGCAGCTTTTTACCACCTAAAAAACATTACTAGGATCAAAATCATAGTGTCTAAAGCAGACTTGGAGATTCTTATCCATGCATTTGTCTCCAGTAGGTTAGACTAATGCAATGGCCTGCTCACAGGTCTCTCCAAACAGGCTGTAAAACAGCTGCAGTACATTCAAAATGCAGCAGCTCGAGTCCTGACTAGAACCAGGAAGTACGACCACATTAATCCAGTTCTCAGGTCTCTGCACTGGCTTCCTGTGGCTCAGAGAATAGATTTTAAAACAGCTTTGCTTGTGTATAAGTCTCTCCATGGCCTCGCACCAAAATATATTAGCAGTGTTGGGCACGTTACTTTGAAAAAGTAATTAGTTATAGTTACTAGTTACTTCTCCCAAAAAGTAACTGAGTTACTAACGGAGTTACTCCACTATAAAAGTAACTAGTTACCAGTAAAAGTAACTATTGCGTTACTTTTTCGTTTTGTTCTGGAACATAATGTGCACCCGACGTGCGCATTTTTACCTTTAACAGTGCCAATATTTCCATCTAGAAAAGGCTGTTTTGCTGCTGAAGTCCTGTTCACTCTTCATCTCTCTCTGTGCTGTAAAGCCCGCCACTGTGAATGTGGAAACACCGGTGACGAGCGGGTGAGGCTGGTGAAGCACTGACTTCAGTCCAATCAGATGAACATATACATCATATAAATCAAGTGGACAATTTGTTTGGCTACAGCAAAATATGTTTTATGCCCGCATTGTTTGTTCATACAAAACGCAAAACTATGAGTTATGGGTCTTACCTTATAGCTATACCTTATAAATGACCTGCACAGTCCACTTCGGTTCAGACCAGTTCCTTGTTTAAATCCAGTGAATGGTTTGAGCGTAGATATGTAATCCTCCATTTGGAAATGAGTCCAATGAGTTTTAAAAAGTAAAACAAAACGCGTGTGTCCTCCATAAACTCCTGTGTTTTGCGGCAGCCGAGTGCATCCAATTTCTAAAATCAACCGTCTTACACTTCACCTCTCTTTCTTATCATTCCTATAGTAATTGAACAATTACCCTATGTGCATTTTAGATTATGTAAAAATGTGTTATATGTATGTTAGCCAAACCTGTTGCTGTCCTTAGCAGAATAAACCAGGACGAGCAAGGAGCTTATCGATGGAATTGTATGCAGCCGACTTCTGCGCTGACATACGCGCCTCTGTGGCTGACCTCACGGTGATACAAGCCGTGGTTGAGCGCGATTAAGACCCATATTTGTTTCAAAAACACAATTTATGAGCCATCCTCTCAACTGTAGACATGTAGATTGTAAAGAAATATGATTTACATCAGCCAATAATTGCTGAGAGGTTTTCTCATCCTCCCTTCTCTCATGACAACACGTTCATTGTGCGTCTTGAGTAACGCGCAGTAACGGGATGTCGGAAATGATAACGGCGTTATAGTTACTGTCAAAGTAATTAGTTAGATTACTCGTTACTGAAAAAAGTAACGGCGTTAGTAACGCCGTTACTAGTAACGCCGTTATTCCCATCACTGTATATTAGTGACATGTTAGTCCCATATGAACCAGCCCGGACTCTGAGAAGCACAGGGACTGGACTCCTGTTAGTGCCCAGAGTCAGAACTAAACATGGGGAGGCTGCTTTTCAGATTCATGCTGCTAAAATCTGGAACAATCTTCATGAAGATGTGAGACAGGCCTCCTCTATGACAATGTTTAAAACCAGGTTAAAAACAGTTCTGTTTAACTGTGCATACAACTGAGGGATTTTATATTTTTATCTTTCTTTTTAATGTACTGTGATTATTTATGATTTTAATGCTTTCTTATTTTGTTCAGCACTTTGAATTGCCTTGTGTATGAATTGTGCTATACAAATAAACTTGCCTTGCCTATGAACAGCGTGTAAGTGATTGCTAATGATCAAAAGATAGGGCTCTGTAAAGGACGCACAGTGTTGCGGAAATGGACAAAGCAATTCTAGGAGATCTCAAATTGTCTGCAGATGTTGCATTGTGAAAGATCACATGACCCAAACAGTGTCATTTATCATCACCACTGTGACCAAGCTGCACTTTCTACTAGTGAAGGGCTAACACCGAAACATCACATTTCTTTGATGCAACAAATTATATCTTGTTAGTTCTGCTGAGATTTTTTAGGTTTTATCTAACATACCTTCTTGGTTCCTAAACACTCCATTTAACTCCAAATGTGTGTCTCCTTCTCCTTGCCTCTCTTGTAAATTTCTCCGGTGTGAGATCAATAAAGTCTATCTCATCATTTCTTGCCAAAAGAGGACAAAGCTATCAATGAATGAAGTGGATAGATACTTCATTGATCCCCTGTAGGATAAATTCAGGTGTCCAGCAGCAGAAAAACAAATCCATATAAACAAATAGGACATAAATTATAAACATTTAGCCAACTACAAAACAATAGTGCATATATATATGTATATGTATATAACTCATACATGTCTGTTGTACAGTCTGACAGACAAAGGAACAAAGGATCTCTTTAAACATTCCGTTCGGCAGCGCAGTGATTTAAGCCTATTGCTACAATTACTCGTAATCCAGTAAGAGACTGAAACTAAATTAGATCATGATGTAAAGCAGTTTGAATGGAAGGAAATCACTATGTAAATAGACTGTCATGTCTTCAAGTTTAAAGACATAATTCATTCATTTATAAGTTTGTTTAATAATACAACACGTTCTTAAATGCTAAAGCAATAAGCTAAATTTGTTAAAATATAAGGGGAAAACAAAAGTGAGACTTCCTCTCTAGAAAACATCAGTTTCCTGTCCGCGCAGAGTAAGCGCTCTTGTTTTTCTGCAACAATCTTTGTTCCCTTGGTAACTGGTACAAGCACGTAATCTAACGTCTCATTTAACGCAGAGAGCTTTCTTGTGTTGAGCCTTGGCAAACTTTCGTCTTTGTAAGTATTATTTAATGTCACAAGCACAATGTTCGGACCACAAAAGTGTTAAGTGTGAAGTGTTAAGTTTGTGCTATTTCTGATTAGCTAGCGCTGTATGTAATTTCGTGTGTACAGCCGTTGATAGTGACACACTTTTTCCTGTTGTTTCAGTTACGGTGATTTTGGTGATTTTTGTAACATTGAATTGACCAAATACAAGATTCTCTATAAAACAAGAAAAGCAAGCCTTGTCTATAGAGTTTCTTTCCCGTTCGCTGGCTGTCTAGCTTCACATGGTCACGTGTTGTGAGGACAGCACATAGACCATTTTCCATCTTAGGAAATGTACGTCATGCCACACCATTGGAGTATACGGTAGTTGAGGGTATTTTGGTGGAATTGTGTGGATTTATAGGTGAAAAGAAATACATGTCACTACTTGCACTTCTTCAATTGTCCTCTTAAGCCACAGACACATGCTTTTCTCTGAAGTACAAGGCACTATGAATGTGGGGATGAGGAATAAACAATTTATGATAGAATGTATTGTCCTTGAAAATTATACTTTATAATGAAATTGTCTGGAGTAGACTTGTGTCGTTTATGTGGCTAATTACGCTATACAATTTTAAGAGCTCTTTGAATCCACTACTAAACAGTCATTCACAATGCGGATGTTTTCATTTTAGTCAAGTGGTTTATTTGATCTTTTTGGCCCATAATAACATCTGTACTTGTCATTTGTTTACTAACCCTAGGAAAGATGGCTGCCAGTGAGCAGATAGTCAGGATCAGCAGCAGAACTTCTCCCACCGCAAATGTGATGTAATTTGCAATCAACCTAACAAAATAGAATGGCGTTTAAAATAAGTTTAAATTGGAGAATGACATGACATGTCTGTTTCTCCACCAGAAGACTGTTTACCGTGGGTCTATGAGAGCCTCCATGGCTGCAGTGAAGAGCAGGACGGCACAGGAACAGCAGAAAGCAGCCCCACTCTGCTTTTCCTTCTCCACAGAGTAACGTGTCTCTAACTCTGGGTCCACAAACCGCAGAGACAGACTGTTTGTACGCTTCCCCTTTAAACTGAGGGGACAAAACACATGATGGCTTTAATTACTTCAGATACAAAACAGAATGGAAACCACAGGGAAGTAAACATTGCAGCATGTCTTTCTGTGCATTGGGGCCATTGTGTCTCGAAAATTATCATCTTATAGTATCCTACTCACTAATGTTTGAGTAGGATCAACTGTTGTTGTGTACTGGCAACACCGCTAGCTAAGGCAATTGCTACAGTGCCTTGCGAAAGTATTCGGCCCCCTTGAACCTTTCAACATCTCGCCACATTTCAGGCTTCAAACATAAAGATATAAAAATTCAATTTTTTGTCAAGAATCAACAACAAGTGGAACACAATCATGAAGTGGAACAAAATGTATTGGATAATTTAAACTTTTTTAACAAATAAAAAACTGAAAAGTGGGGCGTGCAATATTATTCGGCCCCCTTGCGCTAATACTTTGTAGCGCCACCTTTTGCTGCAATTACAGCTGCAAGTCGCTTCAGATCAGATTCATTTATTTGCCATTTGCAGTAAAACCACATTGGAAAACTGTGCAAGACTACCCCGGTGTGCGCCAGACAGAGAAGACGACACACACCAGAGCTCTTGCCACGGCGCCATCTTTCCGGCGCCATGCGACAAACAGTAGAATAAACAGCAGAGAGCAATAACATACAGATTACACAGACAGTTGGATAGACACATTGTGCTTTGAATAAACCACGGATTTTTTTTCTCGGGATGAGCCCTCCGACTGCCGGCCCAATGTGGCTGTCAGAGGGGGGCGGGGTCAGGGAGGGGGTGAGTCGGAAACACAATGAGGAGTGCAGGGGAGGGAGGGAGCAAGATGGATAGGTAGAGGGAGGCGGGGGAGGGATCCGAGCTGGAGACTGAAGACTGAATAGTGTGAGTTGTTGTAGATAGTCCGGACTTGTTATTATGGCCTTGGCCGAGGAATGTGAGATAAGAGTGGAGAGAAGACACAGCTGGAGAAAAACACATCGCCTGTGAAGAGGGACAATATTATATGCAATGTCGCAGTCAAAAACAGGCAGATATTCTATTAAATCCAATTAAACCGAATTGCGGCGCCCTCAGACCTCCGTACACAGGGGCAAATCCAAGCCGGGTCAGAGAGTTCAAGCCTGACAAACAATGTCATTCAATCTCAACTCCAGAGTTTTATTCCCTTCGAGTGAACGAGCTGCGAGATCTTTGATCAACTGTTCCACCAACACCACTCTCCGTTGTCCAGCCACGGCGCTCTCAACCACGACTCGGTTAAGCTCCTTGTACATCCCATCAATTTTGTTGGCCAGCAGGTCGTGAATCTTGCGAACTGCCATGCCTCCAAATTTGTGGTAGAAGAGAACCGCTCCAATCCCAAACAGGAGGATTCCCACCACCAAAATGCCAAAGATATATACGTCTTCCGAATCTTCAATAGACAGGGTCGACAGACAGAGGGGCTGAAACTTGTTCCAGCTATCAAGCGTATACCCCGCTGGTGAAGTCCCGTCCGGGCACACGGGCTCTCCAGACCCACGCTTACGTGTTGAAAAGATAGAATCAATTGCGTTGAGGGACCAATTAATCATTTCCATTCTTGCTTAAAGTTGCTTAAAGTTGTCTGTGGCAAAACTCCAGGAAAAAGACAAAAAACAGGAGATAGCAAGCACTCAGAAGCAGGAGCGTCTGAGACACGTCTTTGCTCGACGGAGGCTTGGGGTATGTCTCTATCAGTTTTGCACATCGAGAGACTGGAATTCTTGCCCATTCTTCCTTGCAAAACAGCTCGAGCTCAGTGAGGTTGGATGGAGAGCATTTATGAACAGCAGTCTTCAGCTCTTTCCACAGATTCTCGATTGGATTCAGGTCTGGACTTTGACTTGGCCATTCTAACACCTGGATACGTCTATTTGTGAACCATTCCATTGTAGATTTGGCTTTATGTTTTGGATCATTGTCCTGTTGGAAGATAAATCTCCGTCCCAGTCTCAGGTCTTTTGCAGACTCCAACAGGTTTTTTTCCAGAATGGTCCTGTATTTGGCTCCATCCATCTTCCCATCAATTTTAGCCATCTTCCCTGTCCCTGCTGAAGAAAAGCAGGCCCAAACCATGATGCTGCCACCACCATGTTTGACAGTGGGGATGGTGTGTTCAGGGTGATGAGCTGTGTCGCTTTTACGCCAAACATATCGTTTTGCATTGTGTCCAAAAAGTTCGATTTTTTTTTCATCTGCACCTTCTCCCACATGTTTGGTGTGTCTCCCAGGTGGCTTGTGGCAAACTTTAAACGAGACTTTTTATAAATATCTTTGAGAAATGGCTTTCTTCTTGCCACTCTTCCATAAAGGCCAGATTTGTGCAGTGCACGACTGATTGTTGTCCTATGGACAGACTCTCCCACCTCAGCTGTAGTTATCTGCAGTTCATCCAGAGTGATCATGGGCCTCTTGGCCACATCTCTGATCCTTGTTTGAGATGAAAGTTTGGAGGGACGGCCGGGTCTTGGTAGATTTGCAGTGGTCTGATACTCCTTCCATTTCAATATAATTGCTTGCACAGTGCTCCTTGAGATGTTTAAAGCTTGGGAAATCTTTTTGTATCCAAATCCGGCTGTAAACTTCTCCACAACAGTATCTCGGAGCTGCCTGGTGTGTTCCTTTGTCTTCATGGTTCTCTCTGCGCTTTAAACAGAACCCTGAGACTATCAAAGTGCATTTATACGGAGACTTGATTACACACAGGTGCATTCTATTTATCATCATCAGTCATTTAGGACAACATTGGATCATTCAAAGATCCTCACTGAACTTCTGGAGTGAGTTTGCTGCACTGAAAGTAAAGGGGCCGAATAATATTGCACGCCCCACTTTTCAGTTTTTTATTTGTTAAAAAAGTTTAAATTATCCAATAAATTTCGTTCCACTTCACGATTGTGTCCCACTTGTTGATTCATGACAAAAAATATATTTTTTTATATCTTTATGTTTGAAGCCTGAAATGTGGCGACATGTTGAAAAGTTCAAGGGGGCCGAATACTTTCGCAAGGCACTGTAAATAATTGCAGCTAAGGTAATGATAACTGTTCATAGGCGAGGGAGGGCATAGCTCTTTACAGACCCTTTTACTGTTGTTAAACAAAGCCAGATGTTCGTGCATAAAGTTTGCAAATAAAGAGAAAAATAAGCCCAAGTCTAAATACATTTTGACCAATAAATGAAAATATGCATGTGTTTGAAGCAACATCATCAATATCCATGGACTTCAGAGTGATAAAAAGCGTGTTTTTGTTTGGGCAGAATTCAGCATTTTGTAATGTGTAGTCTTAAATGCAAATGTGATAAATCACTCTGACTATAAACTACTGAATATATAAAGACTCTGTATTTACTTAAATCATGTGACAATGTATTGAAAAATATACATTGTCCTAGTCCAATAAATAGAATATAGTTGAGTAAAGAGTTGGTGAAAATTGACATGATACTCACGCCTGCACAGTCTCTCTCTCCAGCAGAGCCTCATTCAGTAGTTTGTTCAGCTCCTGTTCGTTTTCCTGTGCATCGATCACCCGCTCTGCCAAGTCCCTCAGACGCAGCCTTCGCCGTGGGTTTGGGAAGGATGGGTTTACCACCTGCAGGTAAAACTCATGTGACATCACGTTTGTATCTTTATTTTCCTGCATTCAAGACACCAACAGTCAACATTTGACAATCCCTTTCTCACCGTCAGATACAATGTCACAGATGAATAAAGAACAGGGTCAATCTAACATATGGGTCACCAATGCTATGCCCACGGGCGCACAGGCGCCTGGACACACATTTAGGGCGTGTTCAAAGCATGTTCAAAAATAGCATTGGTCACCTGGGAGGTCAGCATGCCACAGCAAGTGCCTGTTGTAAAAGGCCGCTGAAGTACTAAACAAACACTGAACTCCCACTAACTGAATTTCACTCTCATATATCGAAAAACTGAGATGTATTAAGCGTTTAATGACTGATTTTTACTTCACGTTATAGAAGCCATTGATATTTTGTGTCAAAACGGATAAGGTAACAGCTATGGTAAGCAATAGAATGTGCCAAGACTTTTGGGATTTTTGGTGCCATTTGTGATTTCTAAAACAAACATTTAGATTAAGAGTAAAGTTTGGGGAAGAAACTGTAATTATGTAATGTAATTGTGGATAAACAAAGGGTTAGGGATAGGCTCACCTCCTTCAGGATGAAATAGAAAGATTTTAGTGAGACAATTCAGTTACATGTAAAGCCTAAGTTATACTTGCGCGGCGCGGAGCTTACGAAGGTGACGTGACGTCACTTGCGCAACGCGTTGGTCACCGCAAGGCCCTTACGTTGCCTGCCCTGCAGCATCGAAATTTTCTAACTACGTAAGGGTCGCCGCAAGGAATCTCCGCTGTGATTGGTCCGTGTGTGGAAGGAAGCATGAAACGGCTACAGCGGGGACAATGGACGAGGCACTATGGAGCAGAGAGCTTTGTGCTTCGAAAGGAAAAGCAGTTTGGGCTCAGAGCCTGATATACAGGAGACTGTGGACTATCTAACATATATATAACTTATAAACTGTGCAGTCGTTTGTTTTGCACTGTTCCCGTCTTGTTCGAATCGTAGCTGCGTTTGTTGCTTTCCTCCTGCACTCGTAAATCGTTCATGCTTGTCTCAGATATTTACCACTATTATTGTTTTGCTGTTTGTGCTGAAAACTATTTAATAATAACTATGTTTCCAACAAGAACTGTGTCTTTATTCACAGCATCACAGTTGAAATGACTTATAAAATAATGAATCCATAAAACTATCACATAAACCTACAGTAGAAACACGTGTAATGAGCTCAAACAGCTTTGTTTGTTATTGTTGATCTGAAGAGGACAAAGTAGCAGCGTAAATGGGACCGCTCCTGTGAGATCGCCCTCATGTGGTTTGTTGTGGGATTACAACATTCTCCTCAAAACTCCATAAGGGGAACGCGCCAGTATAACATCAATTGTGCTTACGTAGGTCCACCGCAACCGCTAAAGTAAGCCACGCCGCGCAAGTATACACTAGGCTTAACATATAACATAATCCTGTGGCTTGCACTCAACTACATTCTACGTATGTAGTTTATTTTCTTTTAAGATGAAATTGGTGTGACAAATAAGTAGGTGCACTCAAACACCTGAGAAGTACAGTCCCCTTAAGGTACTGCTTAAAAAAAATTGGTGGCCGCTGAGTCTAGAACAAAAAGGGGAAGAAAAGGTTTGTCAGACGTTTCTGTAAAGATGCTCAGAGAGACCCACTGTAAATGTGCAAAAACAGGCAGTAAATACAGCAGACCGCAGTTTGAGAACTGCTACATGGTAGGAAATGAAAAGGAATCAAATTAAATAGAATACAGAATATAGGGGAGGTTCAAAATGATACGGTAAGCTAGCGTGTGTTTATTCACCCTTGCGTCAAGCTCGTCCGGCTCCTCTGGAGTGGCACATCCAGTGGTCATGTTGCCATTACATTCTGTGGTATTAATGAGCAAAGGAGAGTTCCCATTGGACGAGGTCACAGACAGCTTCTGAAACACAAAACACTACTATTCATGCTGGGTTTCTTTCAGAGCTTACAATATAATTAGGGATGTCCTGAACCGATCATGTTTTTTGACTTATTGGGGATTGGCTACTGCCCAATCCACTCGCCCAATCTTTAGAGCAGTTGTCATAACTAGCAGTTGTTTACGGTAACTCTGAACGCAATAATTTAAAGCTCAGTTATGGTAAAAATTAAAAGTAGTGTTCATGTGGCAGTATTTCTCATTAGAAAACGAGGACAGCACAAAAGCAACATGCAAAGTATGCAACAATTGGGCAAGGAGGGAGCAGAAGAGCTACATTCAACACGACAAATTTGATTCGGCATTTGAGGACTAAACATGAAACGTTTGACCTAAAACGTGCCGTATTGCATGCTTGTCAGTTGCGGGCGTCTTATAGCAGACAGCGTGTAGCACTGTTAAGCTATATGAGAATATTTGATAGTTTGAGGCTGATTAACTTATTTGATTTTTCATTACAGCAATTACTAGCCGTACGTTATCAATGTAATAAGTCTTGTTTTTTTAGCAAGAAAACCCAATATTTTACAAGTTTTATAAATTACAATACTAATGATAAAAAGCATTTGATCCGGAAATCTGATTTGAAGTTTAACAATCGAATCGGGATTGGAGGAAAAAAATAGTGATGAGGACATCCCTAGATAAAATACACATCTCATTATGCATGACACAAAACAGAGATTAATGGGACGATTCAGTGCAATATATTGCTAAACAATAAGGTTCAGTATAAACTATGGGCCTTTGGTCCCTTATTTAAAGCTGTGCCACATTTTTAACAAAAATATACCATTAAAGGAACATTTATATTTCATTTAATTAAGATTATTATTCATTTATTTATTTTTATTGAAAAGAATGTCAATAGCGTTCTCCATATTTCCTAAATGTTGCACTCACAACTCCATTGATGCCGTTTTTTCCTACTGGGCCCTTGGGCACCACCACCAGGTAGGTGTCGATGCCGCGCTCTCGAAGATAGTCACAGCGATCGCCACCGTTCCCGGGCTCCACGTCAAATTCTCCATGAAGACACTCCATCGTACTCTGGGAAATGTGCACACGCCTACAAATGGAAAGGGATCATTACAAGCGTTATACAGAACAAGAGCAAGACAATTCAGAGTATATCAATTTAATTGATGAATAAATTATTATTGTCATATTATACAGACTAAAAAAAATAAAACAAAACTATATTGATTCAATGTAATGCAATGTAAAAAAGACAATAAATACAAAGAAAACTACAAGGTCCGTTTCATTTTTGATCCCAAAGTCAATGTAAAAGAACAACATGTCCCATGAAGCAATCGCATTATCACAGTTGAAATGATAACAGTCATTCCAGCTGAAGCTAACATGGGTTTAGTCAACTGAAACAATCAGTTTTAAATATACTGTATGTACTGTACTAGTCAGATCTCAGAATATAAGCAGTGTGGATACTGGTTATTGCTGTGACAAGACACAATGGGACCGCAAAAAGTTTGTTATGTCCTTGGGCAAGACGCTTCACCCAAATTACCCAATATGAATAATATACACATCTGCAAAACAACTTAAGTCTTTAACCGTCTATGCACATGGGTCATTTTGGGGAACTTTCCTCGCCTGGTTTTCTTTGTGTATAATTGTTCATAAAACAGTCATCTTTTGATGCAGAGTCAAGCAGAATACTTTGTTTTTTTCAGTACAACCTGGGGTTTTGGAATATTCATATTGTAAAGCTGTCATATGAATTATATAAAAATTATGGAATCATGAAGACAAAGAAAAAAATCAAACGGAAAATCAATTTAACAAAAATGTATTGAAAAAACAATGAAATGCTATAAACAACTTTTTACACTGCATAGAAATGTTATTTATGGTCTTGGGGATAATGGGGAAAAAAATTGAATCTCTAACTATTATACTTTTTACAAAATTCCACTATAAAAGCAAAAAACTCTGTACTCCTGATGCCCTTCCTGAAGCAGTTTGTCTATAATGCTGGGGTTGCTTCTGTAGTACAGCTGTAAAAAACGTAAAACATAAGAAACTGAGCCAAAAAAAAAAAAAAAACATCAATTATTTATATAATACATATATTTATATACATCATATACACATAATGTCATTTTACTGTATTTATTATCGTCTTTATCAATAATGCGCACTCTTCAGCCGGTTATTGCAATCGCAGCTGTAGTTTCAACTGTGGGACAACAAGTAAACGCAGAGGAGTGAGACATCTCACTCTCTGACGATCTTTGGCAGTCCCCGTGTGTTTGTATCTCACAGCTGTTTGTACCTCACGGGTCACGCTTTGGACACGGACTTTCAGACAAACGTAGTTTATCCTCCGTGCATCTCACAGACAAATCAAAACTAGTTTCGGAAAGCCCTGAATACACAGAGGAAAAAAAAGTAAGGTGCTACGTTTTACCGTTCGCGAGTAAATTGATCATTTGTAAATCATGTGCGCGTGCATCGGCGCCGATGCACGCGGGCATATAGGGTTAATATACAAATAAAGTTACTTCCAATTACTTCCTTTAGGCTTGGTGTTAAAATTGACACAGGGGAAGGGACAGTAAAATCCTAAATTGTTCAGATCAAAACAAACCAAAATTTTCTCTCACCCAGGGATCCCTCCGGCCTCCATCTTGTTGGCCACAGTGACATCAGTGGACCAGACATCATACTGCCAGCGCTTCTGCCCCAGAACCCCCCCCAGCACTGTCCCACTATGCACCCCCACACGCATGTCCACGTCCGTCTGAGTCTTCTCCCTCACATACCTGAAAGGTAAAGAGGTTATTTATATAGCACAATTCATACACAAGGCAAGGTTACAGTCATCTCTCTAATATGACCCAAAAAGGCATAATGTGCAGTTATGATTCATGACATCCGTCAATATTTGTTATAAAACGCGAACATTTCAAATCAATCAGTGATCCATTGAAAAATTACAAAAAAACCACATTAATACAACTGTTGACTACGAGTGATATCGCATCAATGTTCAGTCATATTGTTCTGATTAACAATGTTATTTCAAAATAAATATACAAAAAACAACAGCACAATATTGCTGGGGAAACAAACCAGTACAACAAGTGCACATCTAACCTGACAGGCTTTCAAGCTTTGTTCCAAAACATCAATTTCAATTTCAATCTGTGGCTGTGATCAATGAAACCCACATGACTGACACCAGATGGCACCGCACTGGCACAGTGCCACTTATCATCACTCAGCCCGACCCCAGCATCCCAGAACACTCACGAAATGGCTTCCACCATGGCTAGTCCCATCATAATGGAGCAGGCCGCATGGTCCTCCCTGTAGTCTGGAAGTCCACAGATGCAGTAGTAACAGTCGCCCAATATCTTAATTCTCAGCTGGTGGTATTTCTGACCAAAAAAAACAAAAAACAAGATTTAAAAAAGTTGGCTTTTTTTCAAATTGTGCGGCTGATTTTTTTTTTTTTATTCAGTTTTTCACGTGTGCTTACAATCTTGTGGCAGAACATTGTTACATGTCTTGTAAATTGTGGAGCAAATATACAATTCCAAACAAGTTCAAAGTGAGCACTTATTTCAATTGATACAGTAAAGACATAGGCTAGGGCAAGATTATGCTCCTTTGGAATCCATAGTTTCTTAAATTAGATTGTTTTCATTAGACTGTGATTCTAGTGACACAGCTTAAAACTCTGGACTGACTGCACCTGGTTTTGAGCCGGAGGTGCAGAAGGATACAGAAGCTGCTGCTGCCTATTATTCAAACAGCACCAGTAAATACATTCTAAACCAACACAAAACTGAACAGAGAGAACAAATGTGTGGTGCAATGAATAGTGCTGGATAAGAAAACTGCACACAAGGGCTACAAGTAATGATTATTTTACACTAATGAGACAAAATACACTTAAAAAGGGTCAGCAAATCTAACATGCATTTAATTGTGTTGATTAAGGACTAACTTACTGCAGCCAGTTTATCAAAACGAGCGAAAAGTTCATTTAGAAGTTTGACGAGCTCATGAGCGCTGCAGGACGAGGAGAGCTGAGTGAAGCCCACAATGTCTGCGAATAAAATACTGACAAGGGACAAGAATACATTTTACAAGGCAGTTCATAATTATCAGAAAGAGGGTAGCAGTGTGGTTTTGTTCCCACCATGACCATTATGTCAGTGTTGCAATGCATAGTATATAGCAGTGTGAGTAGTAAACACAGACTAGAAGGCACTCAAAAAAGAGAGAGCCCTGTGAATATAAATGTATAATAAAATAAGAAAACTAAAATGTGTTTATGCTGAATGTTTCAAAGGTTCTTGCTGAGGTACTGAAAATATAAGTACACAATAAAATGTAAATAAGAACTAAAGAGTAGAAATGGCAAAGAGAAAACATCTGTTTTGAGAAGAAGAAAAACTATAATAAAAACTTAAGAGACAGCAGTTGGACTAAATGTACAGTGCCTTGCGAAAGTATTCGGCCCCCTTGAACCTTTCAACATTTCACCACATTTCAGGCTTCAAAAATAAAGATATAAAATTTAATTTTTTTGTCATGAATCAACAACAAGTGGGACACAATCGTGAAGTGGAATGAAATTTGTTGGATAATTTCAACTTTTTTAACAAATAAAAAACTGAAAAGTGGGGCGTGCAATATTATTCGGCCCCTTTACTTTCAGTGCAGCAAACTCACTCCAGAAGTTCAGTGAGGATCTTCGAATGATCCAATGTTGTCCTAAATGACTGATAATGATAAATAGAATGTGCCTGTGTGTAAACAAGTCTCCGTATAAATGCACCTGCTCTTTGATAGTCTCAGGGTTCTGTTTAAAGCGCAGAGAGAACCATGAAGACAAAGGAACACACCAGGCAGGTCCGAGATACTGTTGTGGAGAGGTTTAAAGCCGGATTTGGATACAAAAAGATTTCCCAAGCTTTAAACATCTCAGGGAGCACTGTGCAAGCAATTATATTGAAATGGAAGGAGTTTCAGACCACTGCAAATCTAAGAAGACCCGGCCGTCCCTCCAAACTTTCATCTCAAACAAGGAGAAGACTGATCAGAGATGCAGTCTAGAGGCCCATGATCACTCTGGATGAACTGCAGATAACTACAGCTGAGGTGGGGATGGTGTGTTCAGGGTGATGAGCTGTGTTGCTTTTATGCCAAACATATCGTTTTGCATTGTGGCCAAAAAGTTTGATTTTGGTTTCATCTGACCGGAGCACCTTCTTCCACATGTTTGGTGTGTCTCCCAGGTGGCTTGTGGCAAACTTTAAGAGACTTTTTATGGATATCTTTGAGAAGTGGCCACTCTTCCATAAAGGCCAGATTTGTGCAGTACACGACTGATTGTTGTCCTATGGACACTCTCCCACCTCAGCTGTAGTTATCTGCAGTTCATCCAGAGTGATCATGGGCCTCTTGGCTGCATCTCTGATCAGTCTTCTCCTTGTTTGAGATGAAAGTTTGGAGGGACAGCCGGGTCTTGGTAGATTTGCAGTGGTCTGATACTCTTTCCATTTCAATATAATTGCTTGCACAGTGTTCCTTGAGATGTTTAAAGCTTGGGAAATCTTTTTGTGTCCAAATCCGGCTTTAAAATTCTCCACAACAGTATCTCGGACCTGTCTGGTGTGTTCCTTTGTCTTCATGGTTCTCTCTGCGCTTTAAACAGAACCCTGAGACTATCAAAGAGCAGGTGCATTTATACGGAGACTTGATTACACACAGGCACATTCTATTTATCATCATCAGTCATTTAGGACAACATTGGATCATTCAAAGATCCTCACTGAACTTCTGGAGTGAGTTTGCTGCACTGAAAGTAAAGGGGCCGAATAATATTGCACGCCCCACTTTTCAGTTTTTTATTTGTTAAAAAAGTTTAAATTATCCAATAAATTTCGTTCCACTTCACGATTGTGTCCCACTTGTTGATTCATGACAAAAAATTTAAATTTTATATCTTTATGTTTGAAGACTGAAATGTGGCGAAATGTTGAAAGGTTCAAGGGGGCCGAATACTTTCGCAAGGCACTGTATGTAAATGTAACAGTCCTAACCCTGCTAACCCTAACCCTGAAATAAACCCTTAAGCTTAAAAAGTTACAATAGCATTATGACGTACAATAACAAAATACATATTATTTAAGTTGTTAACAACGTTTATTTTTGTCAAAAGCATTGGCACTTGCATTCATGATTACTTAAAGCAATGTATAGAATTGTATCAAAACCACCAATAATAAACTAAAAGATGGTGTAATGAAATTACGTTTCATTTACCTGACATTCTCGTGCCTGTACATGTACATAGTGTTGAACTGCTGCATCTCCTTCTGGCTCTGCTCCTTCTTCATGTCCTGTAGCATCTCGTCAGCGATGTGCTTTGGCAGAATCGACAGCAGGAGGCGCTCCTTTGAGGAGGAACACACACAGGTCACTATAACTAAACTGAAACCATGAACCATTATTTAGCAAGATGTATGGAGTTGAACAACTACTGGGCTGTTAGAAGACCAGAGGTGATCACTGGATCCACCAGGTGAACTAGTTTTCAGATGTTTCAGTCATGTTGTGAAAGGGAATTTCTGTATTGGTTGTTGTGTTCTACTTATCAGTACGAGAAGGTTCATTTTGTCTGCCTCTAGACTTTTGACTTCTTCAGTTCTTATTGAAAGTCATGAAACAGGATGCTCTTTCCACATCAAAAAAGGAAAAACAAAAAATGTGAAAATGAAATGGCAGGAAGACTCAGAAGGGCAAAGAAAGATATAGTTCAAGTGCTGATGGAGCTTTCCTACTCTCCCACACATAGGACTCCCTTCTCTCAGGCCACTGGGCGAGAGGAGGCGTGGCCAGTCTGAGCAGCCAGTCAGGCAATTCAGGATGCCCACGCCTACTCAGGTGTAACAACTGATAAATGACACATCAAGGCGGGTAACAGTTCTTAAGATGGTTTGCAGCAAGTTAACAAAGTAATTGGACCTCGCCCATTAGTTGTCTCTTCCGTAAGAACCTAAGCAGTAATGAGAATTTAATAATGCATAGGTTTATATAGCGCTTTTCTGGACTCCCAAAGAAGCTTCACATATTATTCTTTCACTCCATACATGGTGGTGATAAACTACTACTGTAGGCACAGCTGCCCTGGGGCACGCTGACAGAAGCGAGGCAACCAGTATGTGCCATCAGCCCCTCCGACCACCACCACTCACACACACACACACGCACGCACACACACACATGGGCGGCACGGTGGCTGAGTGGATAGCACTCTCGCCTCTCAGCAAGAAGGTCCTGGGTTCAAAACCCGGTCGGACCAGGGCCTTTCTGAGTGGAGTTTGCATGTTCTCCCCGTGTCTGCATAGGTTTCCTCCGGGTACTCCGGTTTCCCCTACCACTAAAAACATGCACAATAGGTCTGGCATGCGCCTCCTGTACTGGCGACCCCGCTCCCATCTCTGTGTGGAGTGAGAGGACAAATGCCCAAAAGTAATTACAATTGTAAACCGCTTTGTGACTCTGGTTTGTGAAAGGCGGTATATAAATAAAGATTACTTACTTACACACATTCTCTGCAATGTGGGTAAAGTGTCTTGCCTAAGGACACAACAAAAGTTGACACTTTATAGCTGCAGCCACCCCACTGTGGCACCTAGTGTTTCCAAAGATCTCCCATCCCAGTACTACACAGGCCCTGCCCTGCACAGCTTCAGAGGTTTGGCCAAAAACTTTGGCCATTTGAAATCTATAAAATGGGGATATTAGAATCCTGAAGGCATTATTATAAGCTCCTTTGCATGTTGGGATAAAGGTAGACTTTTTATTTGTCTCCATCTAAATGTTGAGGCTTTGCCTGGAATGTTTGACAATGTTATTAAATAAATACTCCATCTGTATTTGAGACTTCACTTGGCTGAAATTCAGGTCATCTCTGCAGAGAGGCAATCGGACCCAACGTAATAATTCAGGTTAGTACGCAGTAAAAACTAATCACTACATTATGTACTAGTCACTACATTATGCACAAGTCTTACATCGCACTGAGGGAATTTTCAAGCAAAAACCAGCAGGTAGAGAATACCATCAGAAAAGTTGTGCAATGCACTTTTAGCGAGTGATGTGCGCAGAGGATGCTTGCGTCTCGCGGCTTTAAACGCACCAGCAGAGCGAGCAGGGACACAGATGCTTCTGCTCTCCCTGTGGAGTGTAAGGAGATGTTCAAAGGACAGAACAGGCCATGATGTCGAACAGAAAAATCCATATGTATGTGTTTGTCCCCTGGTTCTGTGTGCTGGTCAGACATGAGACTTTTTGAAAAAAAAAAAAAAAACTATGTCCAGAATCACTGTCAAACCTGCCAGCCTAATGTTTAATACACGTGCTGTGGGTATGTGGAGCTGATCTGGTGCCAAAGACCGTTAGCACAAACATGTTTCCCATGTACTTTGACTGGGAGCTGCGTCACTGCGCGCCTTAAAATACATGAGCTTACTATTTATGGCTGATGAGCGCTACTTGGTCTATGCGGTACGTTGGCGTGCAATGTGTACGCTCCTTGCTGATAAAACCACACCGGCTTCACATGACATGTACGGTATAGGTTGATAGGCTTTTAGTGTAAGATAAGTAAGATACATACAAAATGCGTACAGTTATTCTGAAAATCATGAGGCACATGTGAAATTAGCATCCAACGAGTGACCTTATATGTTCAAACCTTATGACCAATATGTATCATGATAACATACATAATGTACAAATGTTTACAGACAACTTATATCATCATAGGGCTGGGCAATAAACCAAATTTAGGCAATTAATCAACTTTTTAAAAAAATTGAGTTTGTGAAAAATGTGAAAATCGTGAAATCAAATTAAGGATATTGTGAGAGTTCCAGCAGCACATGAATTATATTTGCAATATAATAACAGTCTGTACAGGACTTTTATAGTATGCATTGGGGGAAACAAATTAAAAATAGTTTTGAAACTTGAATATTGAGCAAAAAGATCAATAAATATTTTTAAGGGCAAATACTGTCTTCGGTGACTTTAATGAAAATCGATTTAAAATCTAAATTGTCCAAAGCAGGAAATAAAATTGAGATTTTACTTTTTTGCCATATCGCCCAGCCCTATATCATCACCAATGGAAAGACAAGATTTCACTTGTGAGCATGCCTTCTTTGAAAACAACAACTGAACCAAACCCAGGTATACCAAAATATTGCATCTATAAGACCCACCGACAGGTACAATGAATGGGAATCAACACCCAATGAAGTTTTGCAATTTAGTATAAGCTACCATGTTAAACCTCATTTTAAGGATATTTTCTATTTTTTCTTTTTTTTCCAAGGATTAAACCCAAAAAGGCAATTGGTAATAATTATATTTGAATTTGTAAAAACATTATTAATATACAGCCTACTTTTGAACAACTGAACAGAGTTATTATTTGTTCAATATACCTATAACATAAAACGTAAATAAAAGCAACCACAAATGAAAAAGATGTGCAATAAACAAACCTTTGGATGTGACATAATATATCGTTGACAATTATAAGCACAATATATCAATAATCGCAGTATCTCGGTATTATATTGTGAACCATGTATCACATACTGTATCATACTGTGAGGGTCCCAGTTCATAAGTTGTAAATACACTTAAGGTTAGGGGTGTGAAGATATATAAATTTTTTGATATATCGCAATACTTTCTCCCGCGATTCGACTATTGATATGCATTTGCCAAGTATCGATATCGATTTTCAAAAAAAAAAAAAAAAAAACCTTTTTTTTTTTTTTTAAATTGGTATCAATACTTAATATATGGCTACATTACGCATCTCCATTCCATTTATCATGAAATAGAGTATATTTTCTTTTATTTATGCCATAAATTGGCATATTGTATATTTCTGACCAATATATCAATAATCGTCATATCGTGATAAAATCGTTATCGTAATATCGTTATCGTGATATTATCGTTATCGTGAGCTTTGTATCGTGTATCGTATCGTATCGTGAGGTACCCTTAGGTTCCCACCCCTACTTAAGGTAGTGATGTAAAATATAATGTGAAATCCTCACAGACATCTCCATATCCTCCTCCAGAGCCGACAGTGATTACTGATGACATTGCCGTCTCACAGGGCCTGTTGCCATGGTAACGGCACCGGCCAATCCAAGCGCCCAGCTGCATCTCGACTCAAGACTGTTAGCCCCATTAGCATTCCCAGAGTTAGTTATTAGTATTTCCATATTTCTCTCAATGCCAATCAGTATGCGTTCATTTAACCTGTTCATTCTGCTATGTGGTAAAGTAAAAGCTACTGAATGGGAAAGTTAAGGCAGAGATAGTATGACATTGATGTCAAACAATTATGGAGTAAAAACATGCAAGAGCCATACGAGATGTACAGTTTTTGTTGGTAGTTTGTTGCAGGAAATATGACAACAAAACAAGGCTCTACATACAACCTGAGCACTTGAATGTAAAGAGGATGCTAGTCATTCATTCAATATATTGACTCCAGTGAGTCAATAGAATGTAGCACATTTCAAATTAGAATATTGAAATAGTTAGCAAGAAAGTTTAGGATTTATTTTGCCGTTGGTGATCAACAAATGTGCAGAATGAAAATTGTGACGTACAAAAACAAATTTTGGTCAGAATGAAAATTGTGGCTGTAAAAATTAAATGTACACAATAACTTCAATCTAATAATTTTTCATTTTATTAAAATCAAAAGTGACGTCTGTATGGCAAATATATATACGTGGGTGGAGAGGGCAAGGCACCTTTCTCCGTTCGAGCGTTATATATTGTGCTATATTTAGGTTAGCCAAACCTGTAGCTGCCCTTAGCAAAGGAAGAACAAGAAAGGACGCTTTCTAATGAAATTAGATGTAGAAATCTGGGCTAACAAGCGCCCCCTACTCTGAGGCTGGCCTCACTTGGTGACATTAAAAAGCCGTAGTTGAGCGCAATAAAGACACATATTTGTTGTTGAAACACAATTTATGGCCCATCCTCTAAACTGTAGACATGTTGATTGCAAAGGAAATACAGTATGTTTGAATTTTGCAAACCGTGATAAACAGAGAAAACAGTTTGATAGCACCGAACGTGCTTCTCTCACTGTGAGCTATAGGCTTTTAAGTCTCCCGAGAGAGGCTCGCCTCACAGCGCCGCTCTGTCAAATATGAGAATAATATGTAAAGAATCTGCTATTTCGAGGTAAAAATACAGTGGGGCAAAAAAGTATTTAGTCAGCCACCGATTGTGCAAGTTTTCCCACTTAAAATAATGACAGAGGTCTGTAATTTTCATCATAGGTACACTTCAACTGTGAGAGACAGAATGTGAAAACAAACCCAGGGATTCACATTGTAGGATTTTTAAAGCATTTATTTGTAAATTATGGTGAAAAATAAGTATTTGGCTATTAACAAAAATTCAACTCAATACATTGTAATGTAACCTTTGTTGGCAATAAACAGAGGTCAAACGATTACTATAGGTCTTTACGAGGTTTGCGCACACAGTAGCTGGTATTTTGGCCCATTCCTCCATGCAGATCTTCTCGAGAGCAGTGAACACAGACTTTCAACTCCCTCCACAGATTTTCAATGGGGTTGAGGTCTGGAGACTGGCTAGGCCACTCCAGGACTTTCAAATGCTTCTTCCGGAGCCACTCCTTCGTTGCCCGGACGGTGTGTTTGGGATCATTGTCATGCTGGAAGACCCAGCCACGTGTCATCTTCAAAGCTCTCACTGATGGAAGGAGGTTTTGTCTCAAAATCTCACAATACATGGCCCCATTCATTTTTCCTTTACACCGATCAGTCGTCCTGTCCCCTTAGCAGAAAAACAGCCCCAAAGCATGACGTTTCCACCCCCATGCTTCACAGTAGGTGTTCTTGGGATGCAACTCAGTATCCAAACACGACGAGTCAAGTTTATACCAAACAGTTCTACTTTGGTTTCATCTGACCACATGACATTCTCCCAATCCTCTGCTGTATCATCCATGTGCTCTCTGGCAAACTTCAGACGGGCCTGGACATGCACTGGCTTCAGCAGGGGCACACGTCTGGCACTGCAGGATTTGATTCCCTGTCGTCGTAGTGTGTTACTGATGGTAACCTTTGTTACTTTGGTCCCAGTTCTCTGCAGGTCATTCACCAGGTCTCCCCGTGTGGTTCTGGGATTTTTGATCACCGTTCTAATGATCATTTTGAACTCACGGGATGAGATCTTGCGTGGAACCCCAGATCGAGGGAGATTATCAGTGGTCTTGTATGTCTTCCATTTTCTGATAATTGCTCCCACAGTTGATTTGTTCACACCAAGTTGCTTGCCTATTGTAGATTCACTCTTTCCAGTCTGGTGCAGGTCTACAATTCTTTTCCTGGTGTCTTTCGACAGCTCTTTGGTCTTGGCCATAGTGGAGTTTGGAGTCTGACTGTTTGAGGCTGTGGACAGGTGTCTTTTATACAGATAACGAGTTCAAATAGGTGCCATTAATACAGGTAACGAGTGGAGGACAGAAGAGCTTCTTAAAGAAGAAGTTACAGGTCTGTGAGAGTCAGAGATCTTCCTTGTTTGAAGTGACCAAATACTTGTTTTACACCATAATTTATAAATAAATTCTTTTAAAATCCTACAATGTGAATTCCTGGATTTTTTTTCACATTCTGTCTCTCACAGTTGAAGTGTACCTATGATGAAAATTACAGACCTCTCATTATTTTAAGTGGGAGAACTTGCACTATTGCTTTCACAATGGTGAATGCAAAGGGTCGCGGTGCGTGAGTGCCACCAATTAGATTTGGTCATTTTTGCATTTAGTTTGTCCTAGCTAAAATATTTGGTACACATATTTGTCACCTCAATACAAGACTAAATTGTATTATGATCACACTTCCTGACAAACAGGAAGTTCGTAATTTTGAAAAACTGGAATTCGCCCACATTGTTTGAACAAAATCGCTCCTCTAAACACATGTAGCATCTAGTTATCCACAGAATTGTGATCGGTTAAATGATGTACGAGCTGTGCAACAAACAATTTTGCCGCTTAAAAAAAAGAAAACATTTCAATTGGAAATTTTTTATTGGCCGAAAAGGAAATTGCAGCGTTAGTGCCCCCTACAGACTGAGCCAAAGTTAGATATTGTATGAACATCAACTCCGCCTTGGTCGTTTCACAGATTTGTCTCAAAATTGCTCCACATCATCTACACACATGTAGCATCAAAAGTCAGAATTTTGATCGGTTAAAGGAGCTATACCCGTTTCTGCAAGGTTTGAATGTTTAGCACCGCCCCTCAACTCGCTCACAGGCTTCTCATTTCCCCTACGCTCTCATTCCACAGAGCCATCTAGTTTTATTTGCGATCTATATGCAAACATTAGCATGAGCGCAACTTCTGAAATGGTACAGAAGCAACGCACTGCAAACAAAATATATAACTGAAAGATTACCGCTATAGTTCCGCGTCCGAATGTAGTCCGAGCGTCCGAGGCGGCCCCGCAGGTCTCTCCCATAGACAGTCTCTCCAGAGGATACGATGTAAGCTAGCTATGTTCACCCGGGCTTGATTTCTTTGATCATTTTTTTGCTTTAGTTCCCTCTTCTCTTCCTCACTGTTGTGTCGTTTGGGCTGTTTTGCTGTGTATGCAGTTACAGCAAGAGGAGTTATAGCCAATTCTGCTTACATACTACTGTGTTTAGCAGCGCTGTAGAGGCTAGAGGACGCAGCCTCGTTCTGTGAGTGGAGGAGAACGAGTGTCACACTAAAGTCTCTACTCAGCACTTTTTACGGCCTGAATTCATATACAAGCTGAATCAATTAGCTCAAGTTTTCAATTTAATTATGGATTATAATACAACTTGTATGTAGTAATAAGCATTTTTATGAACTCAATAAAAATAAAAATAAAATCGGGTATAGCATCTTTAAACAGTGTGAAATCAGCGAAGCGGCGATACTGGACTTTTTACCGCCCAACTTTGAGAATTTCAAACTTTCTCCTGTTTAATCATACAAATCTCGATTAACACCAAACTTGAATCGGTTGTTCAACTGGGGTCTACGTCACCTGGATATGAAAATAATGAAATTGCCCCCTACAGAGTGAGCCAAAGATATACAAGGGGAGGAAAACATTTCATTACACAACAAACCAGCCTCAGCCGTTTCATAGATTTGGCTCAAAATCGCTCCACATCATCATCAGCTGAAAGTGTTTGAGCCAAAGTTGTAAGTTTTTAACGGGCATAAAGACATTTAGTTTTGTCAAAATGTGTGAAATTTTGCGCAAAATTCTGTTTTATTTTTCACCGTGTTGCCGAGGCGATGACAAACACTCCCGATTCTGTGTCAATGGGAAAATCATAAAATCTCTCAAATTTTCCCCTCCACTTTTAGTAAGCCAACCTTGGTTGTTTCACTGATTTGTCTCAAAATTGCTCCACATCATCCCAACACATGTAGCATCAAAAGTTAGCTGCAGAATTGGGATTGGTTAATTTTACTTTTTTGTTTCTCAGATTAGGGCTGTATGCAGTGTTGCGCAGTCTGACGCATTGCGTGGTGCAACGGTGCGTCGTTGTGAGGTTCGACGTTGCACGGTGCGGCGCGGGCCATTTGACGCCACTAGCGGCTTTAATTGGTATTATTACTCTGACAGCGCATGCACTCAGGGAATCATAATCTTTGATGATATTATCAATAATGTGTAGAGTTGAGCTGACCTGCTGCTGGCTCTGCTCCTCCAGGTTGAGTTTGACCTCCAGTGACTGTCGCGCCTCCAAAAAGGCCTTCCTGTGTTTGCGGTCGGCCATGTAATACGACATGATCCCCACAGTAATGGAACACATGTAGATCACCACATTTGCCAACAGCTGCATGACAACACACAAGGTAAGGATTATATGCAATCACCAAAGTCACAGCATCCAGATGAGAAATACATTTAACATGTATATAGCAACAGCTGGATTTACTAGAAAAATATTAAACTACCCCCCCCCTGTTTTATACACAGCAGCAGTGAAATGTTCAAATATGATAATTCATAAAAATCCCTTCAAAGCATAAAAGTGCTGTGAAATGTGAAATTTATTTTTATATAAATTAAATGACAATATGAAAATATTTTTTTATTTAAATTTGCAGAAACTCCATGCCAGCCTTTCCAATCGACAGGTATTAGTTGCCCTTGGTTTATTCATAGATGTTATGTTTGATCAATAATACCGTTTGATTATTTAAAAAGACATATGCCTGTACTTGATTTTAATATGAAGTTTAAAATAATCTTTGTCTTTTTCTTCAAGTTTCATAATTGTCTGTAAAAACTGCCTACAATCTACAATCTAGACGCGTAAACCGTAAAGACAAAGTTGTTTTACAAAACTAAGCAACTACTTATCTTCCTTCTCTCCAACTAGTTCCTGGTTGCATTATTTGGTTATGGACTGTATAACAGCAAACACACACAGTGCGTTTATACAATTCTAAAAAAAACAGAAGAGACGCAAGTACGAAACCTGTTTAAGACAAAGACAGATTCAGTTTTTAGGGAGTACTTAATGTTATACTGTGGTCAGACCAGTTTTATGTTTTTTGTGTGATATTCGCCTTGTTTATTTCAGTGGATATGTTGGTATTTACAGTATAGTTTATTATGGTTTATTTAAATTCACGTGAATTTGACACCGTGTAGGGGTGATTTACCTGATCATATATTCTACTTTGGCTATAAAGATCATCACAATCTTCCATGTCAGCAGTAGGTCATGACCAAGATATTTATATACGGTAGTTTTAGTGTATGTACTTCTCTTTGGCACTACAAATCATACAAACATTCAAAGATTTTAGGATCACATATTCCAGCTTGGTAAGAAAAAGTATTACTATAGCTAATGCTATTTAGATTATAGTTTTTATGTTTAAGACCAGTTTGAATTTAATCAACACAATGCTGAAATGGTTATTAGGTTATGTGCTCACCTGTCGTCCCAGCGAGTCCCCCTGTATTTCCTCTTGTTGCTGCTGTGCGATCGTGACTCCCAACACCAGAGTATGGACCCCACAAGACACCGTAGTGATCAGCACAATTGGGGTCAGTCTTAGCGGCAGTGTCAGGAAAAAGGAAAAGCTGAAAAATGCTTGCCATCCCACCGTGTCACTGGCCTGGTGAAATCTGGCATAGTTCAACCCCAAATAACAAAAAATCTGCGCCGCAATGAGTACCCAGAGGGCATAGGGCACCACGCGACGGGACACTCTATCCGGGAGCAGCCCGAACCGACATAGTAAGTACAGGACGACATCTGCGGCCAGTCCCAGCGATGCCACCACCACGGACGCCAGCTTGTCACTCGTGTACACCACAGCACACATTACGATCACGTAGCTGTCAAAGAGTGCGGCAAAAACCACCAAAACCAGCAGCGTTTCATGCCTCTGCCGCCTGAAGTAGGTTTGGTAGAGGTTCTCCAAAGATTCAGGGGCAAATGTGAGGCGCATAAAGCGTGGCAGGCACAGGCAGCAGCCGGAGCTGCGCACCGTGACCTCATGAGTGCGCCCCACCGCCTGGCCCGGGTCTGAGGGCAGTGTGACGGAGCAGTCGGCCGAATACTCCGCAGAGTACTCCGGCTCCGAGAACGCCCGGTTACGAGGCATGGTGATGGCAGCGAAAGCAGGTATGACGGCAACTGAGTCCGCCTGAAAGAGAAATGTATAAACAACATTTTACACTATCAAAAGAAAGTAGTAAAGGAGATGTATTATTCAAGGACTTTTGAGAGCTTTGAGCAATAGTTTTTGAATAGCTAATAGTTTTCATCTAAACCCAGGTCATAGATCAAAAAAGTTACTTTTGGGGTAAATAACACTGTAGTTGTTTAGCTGGAAAAAAATACAGTATTATTTATCTTTTTTTGTAATAACAAGTACATTGCATGTCCTTTAGTTGCCATGACATGGAAAGAACGTCTTTGGAAAACATTCCAGAGGAATTTGTGTCCTTTTCATTTTGTTTTAAATCCTGTATTTACATATGCATGGTGACATCATCACAAAGGGCATTTTAAAGGTTTACGACTTATCCCTTGTGCTACCCTCAGGTCAAAATGACCCGCTACTTTGATTAAAAGTAGGCCCTTTTCAACCCTAATGCGGGTTTAGGGTCAGAACAGTTAAAACTGTTTATTATTGAACCTGAAAATGTGCTTCATTTACTGAAACTGCACTGATTGGTCAAATACCATTTGATAATGAGAATTCAAATCATTGATAAATGATTGAAGACTATTTTAATGTTTTGTCCATGCTTGACATAAAGAGCTAAGTATATGACGCCATTTGAACATTGATACCTTTTTTTCAGACGTCTACAACTCAAGAGGAGTAAATATAATCCTTTGTATTGTTCAAAAAACACATGCAAGAGTTGGACAGACTTTGCCTTAAGCCTGAACAGTGAACAAAGGCTCTTTCAGGTGGGGAAAAGGAAGAGGGGCAAATAAGGACAACGTGACAGTAGAACATTTATTTTCAAGCATGCAGAGTTTCTCTCAGAATTAAGTATTTAACAACATAATGAGGCATTTTAAAGCCCCAATATGCAACTTTTTAGGGCTCATAATAATTATAATGAAATGAAGACAAACAGTCACCATGTCTACAGCCATAGGGCAGACATTAAATGCTGGATAAAATGCTGGAATTCAAATTTAAAATGTCTTTACTGTAGTTTAAGGAAACTTGCATGCAACGATTCGAATGATGAAAGCTATTTAAATAAAATACATTTGTGTAATAAAAGAAATGTGTGTGAAAAGAAGAAATACATGGCCTGGGTGATTCTCACCTGTTCAACCCAAAAGTTGTATCATCACGTTTCTTCTGGATCGATGGCAAATTAATCCCCAGAGTTGAACTTGTCAGGTTTCTTACATATTCACAAAGAGGAAGTTAATCCATTAAATGCATGCTCCTCTTCTTCAGGATCAAATCTTACTCAGCATTTGGAAAAGCCTCTCCAGAGGACGTTCACTTTTGCGTTGCATCATTCTTGCAGAACTTTGGCTGATTTTTATGTTTGCTTCTTTTGGTGCCCTTGCTTTCACTTGTTTGGGGGAGGACACAATAGTACATTCGAGGAATGGGGTTGGTCATCATTACATCCCATAAAACCTTTAAGAATGAAGACAAAATGTATGATTAACAAATCATAATTAATCAAACAGAACAAATAGAAACATATAACCCATAGATCTGTATACTGTATTATGGCTGTATGGATACAATACTGGTAACATTCACAAGAAGATTCTGCAGACGCTTCATCCAGTTAATGATGAGAGCCACCGCTGAGGCCAAGATATTAATTTTAATTTAAAAAAAAATGTTTTATGTACTTCTAAAGTTCAAGAGAGATTTTTGCAATGTATCAAAAAACGTTTGCTCAATGGAAACGCAACTGAAAATAGAGTATATTTCTTTTTAAACAAACATGAACAAACTCAACTCTTGCATGTCATATGCCTTTAGAGGCTTCCAAACCTTCCTGGCCGTATTCTAACAGGCGGTTTCTGAATATTTATAGGCGTGACTTTCATAAATACGTTCGTTTTCAGCCGCGGAATTTATCAACAGCCGCAGCTGCGTACGCTCGGATCTGGGCGGATCTCACACGTTCATGAATCCCACGTTGGAGCTTGCGTATTTAGAAAATACACCCTTTTAAGTTTCATAAATGAGGGCCAATAAATATTACTACTGAATTAACAGTATTGAAATAACCAATCTACTTTTAGCCACCAACACATTTAAAAGCAACATACAATAAAGTAAGATTAGTCCATGCTGAACCATTTAAGAGCTGAAACAAACTACAGAATTAAACAGAAATTACCCATAAAAGTAACTTATTCAACTTTTTACAACTAAAATGTTACATTTCTTTTATAAAAATAGAAAAAGTCTCCCCACTGTCAATTATAGAACAAAGATTGAAATAGTAATCCTTATGCCAAACTCCAGTGATGTTTTTGCTGAGGGAGCAATGTTATAACATTTAAAATCTCAAAAGTCATTAATGTATAACATTTCAGTCAACCCTCACATGGTGTTTAAGATTCTTTAGTTTAACAGCTGCTGTGTGTGTATTTAGCTTTTTATTTCAATAGAGCGGAGCCTATATCAACACCTACCATGTCCTTTGTCAACACTGAGCTGTTTTAAGCTATTGTGGCTTTTTCAAAATATCAATATGGCTCTGAAAATAATGTACAAAGTGAATAAGATTACAGACAATTGTACAGTTTGTCAAGAATAGATTAGATGCCACTTCATCAAAAGTGTGCGTTATGCTTATTTTGTAAAAAAAAAACGGACAATGTTTTTTGTGTTATTGGTGAAAGTACTGCAATATGAATGAGACAGTTTTGTCAGGTTTGTGCAGGTTGGGGTCTGGTTTACCAATGAAATGCTGTGTTTTAAAATGTAATTATATCTTAATAATATATCATAGTCAAACCTATGTCTAAGTAATCTCGGGCTGTATTTAAAAATTATTTTGATGATCGATTACTGCAGTTGGCCAATTATTCTTTTGATTAATCAATCTTTTTTTAGATCCCGTAGGAATTTTTATACATTTGACCAAAACAAAGCTTAAGTGAAGCTCCTGGAGAACATCTTTATAGAGATGGCTGGTTACACAATGGGTTTGGGTTCTTATTGTGAACACATACAAAGAGACATCATAAAAGTCTTAAAACCTCCTCCCTCATGAAGAGTCTATCTAAGGCTCAAAAGCAATTAATTGACTTTATTTATTGATTGATTGATTGATTAGTTGTGATTAATCAAATAACATCCCTAATGCAATGCAATGATTGATTTTACCGTGATATCATAATTCCATGTGCAAAATCAAATTGTGAAGAATCCCTGCTCTTCTAAGAAAAATTTTGATATTATTAAGTTGTGGGATATATTGTAAATTGGCCATTGTATAGATTCAAGTCATGACAAATCCTTCTATTATAATGTCAAAACATTTACAGCCTGAAGCCTGCATTCTAACAACTGAAGCTGAAGCGCAAATTCAGACTGAAAGACCGGCCACAGCTCTCATCCGTCCAGGGCCTGCCAATCACACAGCTCTGCCAGCCTCTTGAGCCCCGCCAATCACACAGCCCAGCCAGCCCCCTGAAAACCCACTGACAGCAAAGCGGACAGTTTAAAAGCAGCCACTCCCCAATAAACTGCGCTTCCTGAAGCTCTTAACACCCACCACCTCCCCAGTGCCTCCTCAGCTCCTGGTTCCTACTTGGGTTTCCGCCCTGGGTCCTGCCCTGGTTCCTGCCCTGGCTCCTGCTCCACCTACGCCCCATTCACACCATGCTCCCAGCCACCACCAGTGCTCGACCCCGGGGGCATCTGAGATCATCTACAGCAGCAGATGATATCCCCTCTGCAAGTGTCACTGCCGGGGTCAATGCGCCAATCAAATAAATATTTTTCATGCATTAATGTTTCTGTCTTAGTCTCTTCAGATTGAATCAGCCTTATGCAAGAATCACAACGTGAAATGCCAGAACACATTGTGAGGTCAGACTGTATGATGAAATATGGGTAATTATTACTACTATTTACTCACGTGCTGGAAAATCTTGATAAACAAAATAAAAACAAAAAAGCCAACTAAAATCAATAATAACATATGATTATGTATTAAATGATTGCCCTAACATTGAATATGCCTTTTATATTTGTTCATATTTTGAATAAATGGCTGCAACTGATGTGTAAAACAATCACTTTATATGACCTGTTATCTCAGTCAGTAGCTCGTTGCATTTCCTAAAAAGCCATTTGAAATGTTGACACAGCTTATGGCTTCTCCGGTCTACCTGTTGAACAACCTGTCATTTCCCCTTTTCATTTGATACATTTTGTTCCCATGTTGAAGATTATAAAGCCAGATCCCCCACGTTTTACACCCAAACCACTCATCCAATATCGCACACAGAGGCCTAGATATAATCCCAGCATTGTGGCACCGCTCTAAATGCAATGCTTTTCAAGTTATGGATAGAAAAATGTCGATTGTGGATCGCTTTTGAAGCGACTTTATAATAAGAAATGAGTTGTCGGCCTGATGGGAATAAGGGCTACATGTTGCGCGCAAGCATGATGGAAACACGCACACACCGCTTAATAATAATAATATTGAGATTCACCGTGGATGCTGTATACATGTAGGGTGATAAATGGAGCAGAGACATACGTAAAATAGCTTAATATGCGGATTTTAGAGCCTGGAAAAGCCACTGGAGCTAGGATGTGGATTACGGCTCATTGAATGCGATTACCATCTTTGGTTTACCTCCAGATGTGGAGAGGGATCCAGTCATCTCTCGGTGCAGAGAGCGAGGCGAGCGGGGAAGGGAAGGAAGAGGAGAGAGGTCCGCACGGTGCTTTGGTTCCTGGGTGGAAATTGGAAAAGGGTATTCCCTGGTCTAGGACACAGTTCGGTTTAGGAAGTAGATGTGAAAATTAAATGTCATAGAGAAAAAGGCAAACCTGCGAAACCCTAGTGCCGCTGCTGCTGCTGTTGGGTGTTTTCAGAAGACACACGGAACGGAGCACATGGTTAAGCTAGCAGTGACAAAGCGAAAACCACTTCCGGGAGTTTTTGACTAATAATCAACATAATTTTTAATGTAATGTTTAACTATTTGTCTACAAGCTAAGTTGATAATTTATTTTCTTAAATCGAAAGAAAATTGCAAACCATTGCCTTTTCTCATTTTATTTAATTAATTTCTGTTATTGTTTTGCTTGGAATGGTCCACAGAATGACGTCTCCAGTCCACATACACCAGAAACCTTGTTGTCATATCTGTGGAGAGGAGAGCCGACCAAGCAAATGAATAACATCCCCATAGTGCAACTAGGCATACGCTTTGCATTTTAAATTAAAAGGTTTTGTGGTCGTTCTATGGTCGATACAAGCTGTCAGACTGTACAATGAACACTGCTGCCTGACCTCACATGTCATGCATGTGTGAAATAATGTCAGAATAGGCTATATGGGACCACATGTATCCTTTGTCATTTAATTTGTCACTTTTAGCCTCATGCTGCTAACATAGTTTCATCGGTGTGAATATTTGAACCCGTAGAGAAAATGACTTAGTTGAATATTCTTGCACTAGAGTATGTTACTTGTTTTTTCTTCAATTTATACATACAAGTATATATTTATTCCTTTTTACTAGAGTATACAAGTTTTTTTTAACCTGATTTGTGTATACTTTGTTGTTCTTTATTTAGCTAAAGAGGGTTATTTTAGTATAGAGTTGTGCTTTCCTTAATATTCACGTTTCTTATGTTCTGTTTGTGTAATCCTTATCTCTACTGATGATGAGTGAACTTGTGATGCAACACACAACATTGGACAAATAAATATATCTCTTAATCTAAATTTTAATCCCAACCTTTTTTTTTATTAGTTCAAGGTAGATTTGTGTGAACAGGACCCACTACCCTTTCTCTCTCTTTGAAGATTAAAATAAAAAATAACAAAAACATTTCTTATTGTATTTTCTCATTTTATTTTGCTGTGACTTCCGGTGTGGTAAATGTATGTTATGTGTGACTTGACTTAACTCGTGCATCTCCATATTTTGTGCCCTTGTGTCTCCGCCTCTTCTCCCCCTAGAGACCATAGACTGTATATTAACTGAACTGACTGAAGATTCTCTGTATGTGTAGTATGTGTTATGTGTTGTTCATGTGAAGTAAAACAATCCAATCAACAATAAGACTGTTTAGGGGCCCAATGGGCGTCCACCAGTCTTGGGGATCAGTTTAATGCAAAGGGATAAAGATTGCACAAACATGAATGGATCTCTGTAAAATTGTGTTTATGTACTCGTTATTCTGTATTTAGAGTCCAACTTCAAGAGATTAATGAAGGGGGGACGGGTTCCCTTGTTATTTGTCCATTGGAGTTTAAAGCTCTTTATTTTGTATTTCTAAGTTTCTCTAGCACTATTTGCTTTAATGGTACAGTAAGTTTACTTCATTACTGCCTTGTATTTAGATTTGATAGACTGTGCTGTATCCTATTCATGTTTCGATTGTTCCGCTCAAACTCAGCTCAGATCAATAGCAGCCTGTCACCAGCCAGAGGTCAAGGGCAACACCAAACTGAGTCAAATTTTATATACAGCCTTATTAGAGCTCCCAGTCCATGCACAGTAAAAAAGTGCACAGTAACCAAAGTACATATATTTTTGTTACTTCATTGGCATACCTGACTCCCACCAGAGTGAAGAATATAAACTATCTTGAACTATCTATATATTACCCATATTATTTTCAAGAAGATTTTAGAATTCAAAACGTTTCCATTATCTAATTAACCATGTAAAAATATATGTGCTTTTTTAATTCCTAGTCTCTCCTATTATTTCACATCATTAGATCTGGTTTAACATGCATGTGAAAACTAGTGATATAAGTTTTTGAGAGCTAATGAGATATCATAAGAGCTACATAACATATTACTTCATACAATGTTTTATTTTTGTGCTTTAAGTGTTCGGTAACCCTAACTTTACTATCACTAGTATCACTACTGCTACTAGTACTGCTACTACTAGTACGACTACTGATATAATAATTATCAATCCATTAATAATAAATGCATGCAGTTCTCTGTTGTGACCAGTACGTGTCGCTGTTCTGTTCTGTCTGAACGGAAACAGAATGGTTCGAGCCACGGATCTTCGAAAACAGTAATAACAATAACTGTTTTTTTTCTCTGCGGTTAAAACAAATTTCAGTGACTGATCTGCATGTCACAAATCGTGAGTATATCCTGACCACAATGATGCAAATATAACATAGATGATAACTTTCATGAGGCTTGCAGTGTTTATACAAAATTATGCCTTTTTTGTTGTGCTCATCCATCACAGAACATAGTAACTAATGACTGCATTAAAGGATGGAGGATTGGTAATCTTTGATTATACACAAAGTTGTACTAATGTGTTCACCAGCCCCTGTTTTGTAGTGTCCTCCACAGTTTACTATTTTTATGCTGTCCTTTGTCTTCCTTATTCTGTGACATATTTGGGATACAGCCTTGAACATCAGTGTCATGGCATATGGCACGTCTTTGAACATGTCCGTAATAGTTCTCTCTATAAGCGACCTTTACATATTGTGAATGGTGGTGTGTAGCTTGGTCCCTTTTTGTTCTACAGTCAAGCCTCCAAACAGTTGGTGTGAGTTGTAATAACCCTGAATGGACCACTAAGAGCCACTGTAGTGTTTTGCTTACAATCACGTTGTTAAAACTAGCCATTTCTTAATTTTACTTTACTGCCATAACTAGTTCGATAGGGTTCCTAAACTTGTGTGTTTCAGACTTGCAGTTTATTTTTGGTTTCAGTTTATTGTCTTTGGAATGTATCTTTTTGGAGAGAACATTAAAATTGTATTGAATATAAAGATAGAAAATAAATAAATAGAAAACAGGAATTCAGAAGGAACTACAGTGTGCGTGAGATTAACAGATGGTGCCGTGAGGCAGCCGCTCATGGTATTTGACAGTTGCGGTAAAGAGAGTCCAAAGGTAAAGCTCTCGATTAACCGGTTCATCTACATGATGGTGTCATCTCCTGAGTATGGAGTTGTGAACAAAAAAATAAGAAGGCCTTCCCGGGAGGTTGCTGCCCCTGCTACCTGGCAAAAAAAATGATCCTCCTCTTTGGGGTACGGAGGAGGATGTGAAATTCTGATGTCTCCAGTCCAGGCATGGGCTCTTTCAAATCTATCTCATAGAATTAGTGGTGTATATGGAATGTAGTACATACATCTTATTCTATCTAAGTAAGTAATCTTTATTTATATACCGCCTTTCACAGACCAGAGTCACAAAGCCGTTTACAATTGGTATTTTTGGGCATTTGTCCACTCACTCCACACAGAGATGGGAGCGGGGATTTGGGATCTATGCCAAATGTGACATTGATATTTCTCGTGTGAGATCAATAAAGTCTTATCTTATGATTTGTTTTTGGTTCTGATACTGAAATGGTTGATCTATTTCAGTTCAGTAAAAACAATGGACAATTTGATCTTGGTACACATCGTCATAGTATTATTGAGCTCCACATTGATTTTGTGGCAATATCATTGCCCAGCCATATTTGACAGTGTTCTTTGTGCAGGTTTACCATGTTGACCTGTGAGATTTGCGGTGAGCAACTTCTGCTGGAGGAGGACATGAAGACTCACATGTTACTGAGTCACATGGAGAATGAAATGCACTGTCCGCTCTGCTCGCTGAGGGGAATCTCATACGACGAACTCATCTTTCACATCCACAGTGCACACGCGGACAACCAAAACACAACCCCAGCGAGAACGAAAGATGCAGCCAATCCTTCAACAAGTCCACAGACTTCTACATATCAGTCCAGTCCGGATTTATTTGCCTCCTCAGACTGCAGTGGCACAGACAGTGGAAATTCAGATACCTCTAGTCCTTCTCCCTTCAAAATTAAAGCCTTTAACAGCAGTAATAAGCTGGGGAATTCATGTGTGAATCCATTGAAACATCGAGTGAAGAAACAAAGCGGTGATAATGCAAGTGGAATAGATGAGAAAAGGATGTGCTCCCCACTTGAAGGTTTGTTGTAGCGGAAAAGTTCAAAACCCTGCACTGGAAAAAAAGTTGAATTTATTCCCTTTGCAGCAGTCCAGACTTATTCCTCACTGTTCACACATTTATCAATTATTAATTGTACACAGTGATAATTTTGACTTTTGTGAGTAGTAAACAATAAAACATGGCCATATCCTCCTATAATAAAGCACTTAAATTAGTATTGACCAGTTATTATATAAAAAGGATTTTTCTTTCAAAGTTTGCTCTCAATGTTCAAATATAGCGAAGATTTTTATTTGTAAAGCACATTTGAATACAGCCTTACCAAAGTGATGTACAATAAAAAAAATATATATATATATTGTGTCACCTGAGACAATTCCAAAACGGAGACAATACTTGGGTTACTATCACTTCTGAGTATCAGGGTTGCATGCCTGAAGGGATATTAAAGTGGATGGAATTAAAAAAAACAACTCCAGGTCTGTTTTTGACGAGGAACAATATTGTAAAATTTTTAAAAGCTCATATACATTGATTCAGCATAACATGTCTTCTTTAATGCATGATAGTAAATATAAAAAATGCAGAAGATGTGAATAAGCTCCTAAAAAATCTTTTCTTCATTTTCCTTTTGTTCCTTTAGAGAGGCTGCTCTCCTGTCCCATGTGCTCCTGTGTCTGCAATGACGCATTCAGCCTCCAAGAACACGTGGAGCTGCACCTGGACCAAACCACACAAGGTGCAGGATGAAAACACAGATACTCTTCAAGTGCATATCAAAGTTATTTTGTTGAATCATTCATAAGTGAGCCATCTGAGCCTTGATTATTTCTTACTGGACACAACCTTCGTGGGTATTAACGGTTTAAATATGGCATTAAAGAGAGGCTTTGTTTGTATTTTCAATGGAATAGTGTGTGAGTTCACAGGCAGAGTCTCTATTGCTGGAATGTTAATTTCTCAAGAAAACGTATAAACATTACCGTAATAATCTTAGTCAATATCAAGTGAAAATAGCATTTCTCCTCTTTCAGGTGGGAGTCAGTTCCAGTGCCCATTGTGCTCTGTTGTCTGCTCCGACAGTTGTTCTCTGCAGGAACATGTGGATCTGCACTTAGAGCCCGGAGCTGCTGTGAACGGTGAGTTTGGTACTTCACATCACACTTACCTGTAGGGGTGAGCCATACTGATATTGAGGGATCATTTAAATCCTCATACCTGGAAAAAAAGAAAGTCATAAAAGACAGACATATCTGTAGTGTTTTCAGCGAGTCCTGGTTCAGACCTGAAACTGGCCCGCAGACTTCAGGAGGAGGAGGACCAGAGGAGGAAACAGGAAGAGTCCAGAATAGAGAAGGAGCAGTTTAAAAAGCTACAGGTGAGTGATTTGGACCATGTTTTTGTTGATGTGTTGAAGGGTTTTTTCAATAATGACATGAGGAAGACTTCTGATGTGCCTCTTGCAGAAGCAGTTTGGGCTGGACGGCAGTGGGGGCTATCGCAAACAGATGGAGCAGAGGATGGAGAGGGCGGTGGCTCGTGGACTCATGGAACCAGCCGAGTTTCACAGCAAAAGAGCCGAGATGATGGAGGTTTTAGCTTCAGGGCAGGACGACGGCAGGACCAGGACTCAAGGTACCCCACACAAATGGGGTTTTGTTGAATTAAAACAAGATTACAACTGCATTTTTTAACTGAATTGTTGTCGATAAGCCAATCACTTCAAGCATTCTTTCCTCCCTTTCAGTGGCTCTTAAACAAAAAGTAATGAAAAGTTTTAGAATTATTTGAATGCATGTGTGCGTTCCCTTTTATGCATAACTGTGCAGCTCTATGCCACAGTTTCCTCTGAGTAAAATTTATCCTATCTTGAATAATTAGTGTTACAACCTTCAGTCATTTTAAAGGCAAATCAAAAAGTTGTCATGGGTAGTGCCAATAAGGAATAATTTCAAAAGCTTGATAGGTGCTGGGATGAAGAAGTGTGATACTTATTTGTTCTCCTGGTGGGGAAAGATGGTGCCGGCCAGAGGGTATTGGGGACAAATATGGACATGGTGCCTTATGCCTTTGGCTTTGAGGATGACCTTATCCTTAACTGACAGATTGTGAAAGCAGCAAACAAAAGATGAAGCTAAAAGGTTCTCAATCAATATTTGTTATATTAAATATTAAATATTAAATTATTCGTATGTGTTCTGTCATGTTTGAAATAAATGGTAATCAATTAAATCACTTTCCCGACACACTCCTCGGGTCAATTCGTCGAGTCTGACGGCTATATCTACAGTGAGAAGAGTTTTTTAAGTAACTTTGATTTGAATAAAGTTGCATGATGAAAATGGTCACAATGTTTTGAAAAGTACATTTTACCACACTGCCTGCTCCCATTAGTATATTACCCCCAATTAAACACCAGCAGTACACAGGTTTCTGGTTGGTCCGGATTAAATCAATTTGTTTTCACAAAGAACAAACTATATTCCCCTTGGTCTTCACCAAATTCCCTTTGTATAAATGTCCAAGTCTCATGAATGGAAGGACGCGCTGTACAATGTAACAAAAAGACCATTCAAGTAGCCTGTCAGTGCCATATTTTGTAACATGGCAATTGTTGTTACACATTATTTTTTACATGGGACACAATGCAGCAGCACTTTTGAACTAATACCTGTGAGGGCAAAAGATTAGATTTTTGAGAGTTTGAGACACAACAGTCTACGTATATGTATATAACCTGCATGTAAGTGTCTCAGGAAGTTGCTCAGGCTCGGCACAAAAAAAGTTTCATACCATGCCTTTAAAGTCCATTATATTACAGTGTGGCTGTTGAATTTAAACATAAAAAGTGTTGTTATTTTGATGTTGCCAGATTTAAACAAACGTTTGTTGTTTATGTTCCAACTGGTTTAATACAGACTTTATTTGTTCTTCCAGGTAATGAGTTTATAAATCCAGTAGGAATTACTTGCTGTCCAAATGCTCAGGGTTAGGTAGAAACCAAACCATCTGAATCTCAAACAAACTGACCAAACACCCCAACTTGAGGACCAAAATATCAAATGTTAATTATAATCTAGTGCTTAATAATGCATGTTGTTTCTACTCAAGCCTTTTAACAATGACGGCTATCAATAATTGGTTTACTGCAATTTTCCATAATGTTGTGGTATTAATAGTTTAAATTTGATAATTTATCATATTTTTTTCTACTATTGAGACTGAAATTGATGGTAAAGGTTTTCTGACTAGCAGTATATTGCTATGTGTGGCAGGTGTGTTAAAGGCCTTATCGGAGCATTACCAGACTGAGGCCAGAGATTGTGTGCACGTGTGGCTGTGTGCGGACACCGATCACTTCTGCTCCTCAGAGGGCGACCGTGGTTGGGGCTGCGGCTACAGGAACTTCCAAATGCTGCTGTCCTCCCTGCTCAGGCTGGAGCAGTACGCTACTGTCCTGCCAGGTAAAATAAGTCACAAGGGTCATTCCCACTGAGCAAAAACACAGGTTTTATGCCCCAAAACACACTGATGGCACACCAGTTAACCTGCCGCGAGAGGTAGTCTTTTTGCAGACATGTGTTCAATGGGAACACTACCACTGGTATAAAACTGGCATAAATGCCTGTTGTCGCATGAGTGATATTACTTTTGCATATTGGCAGCGTGTTCCAAGAGGGCAGCTCTTACAGTCTGCGGCACGGTGGCGGAGTGGATAGCACTCTCGCCTCTCAGCAAGAAGGTCCTGGGTTCGAATCCCGGCCGGACCAGGGCCTTTCTGAGTGGAGTTTGCATGTTCTCCCCGTGCCTGCGTAGGTTTCCTCCGGGTACTCCGGTTTCCCCTACCACTAAAAATATGTACAATAGGTCTGGCATGCGCCTCCTGTTCGGCGACCCCGCTCCCATCTCTGTGTGGAGTGAGAGGACAAGTGCCCAAAAAATAACAATTGTAAACCGCTTTGTGACTCTGGTCTGTGAAAGGCGGTATATAAATAAAGCTTACTTACTTACTTACTTACTTACAGTCAGTGTTGGCTTTTGCACGTGCTGCTCTTTATCTTTATCTTTTAAGGATGATGACATGGATGATATGATTGCTGTAGTCCATTATAATCCTAGGTACATGGTGCTGTAAATTTAGTTATATCAGGTTATAGGACCTGATATTTTTTAAATCAAGTATTTTCAAAAAACAAACAAACACATACTTTGCTTCCACACTGTTGTCCTGTAGAACATTTCAACACGGGTCAAATTTTTTTTTTCTGCAATGTGAAAACCCTTATATACTTATAAAATCTAGCATTTCAATTGTGGGAATTTCAGCCCTTTAGCCTTAAATGTTGTACATGGAATACATGCTGTGTATTTAGCCTGGTTATTTGTTTATAGAAGGTTTTGCAAGTATGCCTGATTTTGTCTGTTTTGCTTAATTTGCTTTTTTTTAAGGACAAGCTTTAGACACAAAGCAAGCTTTTTTTGTTTTCTGCATGTCGCAGCATTGTACAGACCTATCTGCTGTTGTATTTATCTCATTTCAGTCATATTTTTGCACAAATTGTTCTTCCCCACTGCCATTTAAGGCTATAAAAATATGTAACTGGCCAATTTGAATATAAAAAATACCCACAAACCAGTATATTATGTTTGAAAATACTTTAGTGATCAAAACATGACGTGTCCACTATGAAGTAAATGTTGAATAACGCTAGATACAAATTTACAGAGTAAATTCTATAATAGTAGACTCGTGGTGAATGATACAGGCCTGATAAGATTGTGCCATCTCTGGAGAGAGATAACTCCGGAGACAGCAGGGTTTTTTTTCCCCTGTTGAAAAAAGATGTTTCTAACTGGCACATTTTGTTCTTGTTCTTTTTGGAGATAAGCATCAGCTACCTTACAGGCTTTGTGTTACCTTGGGACAGCGAGGTGAGATGACATTGAGAAACGGTTTAGGAAATATATTGCAGTTTAATGTCTTAAACTTGCACAAACATGAAATGCAAAGTTATACAAGAATCGGATGAGCGTGCATTAGAGCGCAGTCCAACTAGTGATTGTAGCTCTTTGCTTTATCATTTAGATATAAATAAACCATGATGAAAACATAACCCACTGGGCCTGGCCTGGGGGGGTGGTAGTCAGAGCTGCACCCAGTACACAGAGCACCAGCCCCTCACTGATCCTCCTGCAGGCGGCGAGTCCACAGGAGCCTTGATCTTTCAGTGGGGGCTTCGGGCAAAGTGGGGTTAAGTGTCTTGTCCACGGACACAACAACAGCAGACATCAGTGGGAGCCGTGAAGTAGGTCTTACGGTGGGCTCGAACCCACGGCCTGAGAGCTAATGCTCTACCAACTGAGCCACTGTTGCCCCTTTCAACAAAACATAATATAAATAAATAAAATGAAAAGATCATTTAAGATAAACTTTATTAATGGAGAAATGTACATGTCACATTTGGCATAAATAGGATCCCTCGGGGTGTGAAAAAAACAGGAAATGTGCAAACATGAACGTGGAAACGTGTTAAAATGGTGAAAAGATGTGCAAGATATATTATGTACAATTAAATTACATTAAAAGTGACTATAGCAGTGCAAGTTTAGAGTCCTAGTGCAGGTTATTAACGTTGCAGTAGTTTGCATTATATTGTCATGTTTTATTTTACTATCAAATATGTATTCAACTTTAAACCAATTAGAAAACATGTGAAGCCCCTCAGTGCATTGGCCTTTTTTAACCAGGGGAGTCATTGCCTCAGAGTGGAGAAGCATGAGGTTTTTCTGGTGTCAAAACACTAGCTTTAACATTTCCTGTGTTTTTTTTTTTTTTTTTCAACTTAATTATTTTCATAAATCTTATGATTGTGTCACACTTATTGTCTTAGATCATAACTTTGTTTCAATCTAATGATGAAAGACTCACCAGAGAACATACTGCTACACATTATAAATAAATAAATCTGGTGGTGTGCTTTTTTTTCTCTTACTCCTTTTGATCTGGAACAAGATAGAATACTATTTATGGTTATGTATCTCCAGAGTGAAAATATATTGTACACATATTGCTTTCAGCTCAGTTCATCTGTCATTTGTTTGTTTGGGTGGGACATCCCCATGAACACGATTTCAACTCACTAAATGTTCAAATAAATACACTTGGGTATCCAGTTTCACTAATCATTATAGTATTAAAATGTAATATTTTATTTAATATTATAGATATTCAAATATTAATTTGAATATCTATAATACCAGCTTTTGTTTGCGCGTGCCAGGTCTTGTCTCAAAACTCGAGGAACGTGTGGAATGGTCTACCCCTGTACATTAGCGCAGCCTCCTCATTGGAGGATTTTAAATCTAGTCTAAGTCTAAGTCTCTTGTATACGCACCAGTATAAGGACGGCTTTACATTTTACTTGTATTTGTGTGCATATAATTAGGTTTTCTTTATTTGTGCATGTGAAGCACTTTGGGCAGCTGGTGTTATCTTAAATGTGCTATACACATAGAGCTGACATCCAACATATTGATACTTTTACACAGCTCTGAGAATTGAATAATATCCTATTGTTGTGAAAAGGTCTTTATTCTCGTTTGCACTGTTGTCAGATATGGCGGTGCCCAGTATCCCGCGGCTGCAGCGTCTGATGGAGGAGGCCTGGGCGGAGGGGCTGGACCCACAAGGAGCAACACACTTCAGCCACAAACTCCAGGGAACCAGAGCCTGGATCGGAGCCACAGAGATCTACAGCCTGCTCACCTCCCTGCGAGTCCGGTCAGAGCACAAACAAACCAGCCCTCCAGCTTATGAGCAGAGCATGACCCTATAATACCACCCACTAAATAAATACTTGCCTAATTCCAAATAAAATAGGCGTGTGCATACGTGTGGAAGATGATCTATTAAAATTCTATACTAGTGTGTTTACGTAGGTTATATACTGTATGGGTCAAGGTTCTTTAATACTAAAAAAGACATTCGTCAAGAGGCACAGCTCCATTTCTTTAAAATTGACCTCATTCTTAAAGAAGTGGATTTAATATGTTACTTACCTTGTCCCATTCCAGAGATTTACTCCTTTTGTTGTAAATAATCTGCCCTAACTTATTTTTTTCTTAGTTATGCGGCTAGTTAATAAATGAATGAACCCAGGTGAAAGCAATAGATCATACAACAGAACGATAGATAGAATGCAATGATTCAATTTCTCCCTCCAAATGTCATCTTGTCGCGTCAAAGCTGCTCCCTCCCCAAGGACTAACACACTGGCGTCATTAGAGTCAGAAGTAAAAGTATTCCCTTTGTTTATCTAATCCATATATTAATAAAACGCATATACAAAAGTTCAGCAAAAATCTTTCTGTTGTGGTTTTTATCAGTTGTTATGTTAGAGTTCATGCTAAGGGCAGCACTCCTCATGTTTAGTCTGAAGCTTTGTGTTCTGTGATTAGGTTTAGTCAGGACAAAAACACTGATAAAAGTACAAAAAACATTGCCAGGTGCTGCCATCAGAAAATGTTACATATTGCGCACATTCAGCTCAAAGATACAATGAATTATTTAGTGTGATGGAGTGAGTGTTGTGGTAACTATATGGAGGACAACAATAGCAGACTGTCCAGAACTAAATATGAGCTTTTCTAACTTACTTTTATTGATTGTGGTGGCAGGGCTCGCATAGTGGACTTCCACCAGCCCTCGGGTCCAGGAGACACCCACCCGCGGCTGTTCGACTGGGTGAGACAATACTTCAGCCGAGGCCAAAACAGCAGCAGAGCCCCCCCTCGAATCATCAACACCAAACTACCTCCGCTTTACCTGCAGCACCAAGGTTTGGATCTGATAAATGCCTTCAGACGTACTTATCAAGAATGTTGGTTGATGCATATACTGATTGGAACAATAATGATAACTATATAACTAACTTGAATTATTTTGTCACTTTAGCTTTCACGTGGCTTTGTTCTAACACACTCACCAGTCATCGTAGTTATCCGCTTTTCCATTAGGGTCTATTATTTTCTTCATAAATAGGCTTGCTGCCCATTATTATTAGTATTATTATATTAACTGTGCTCTGATCCTGAGCTCATTTAAGAATAAACACTAGCTGTCTTTTGTAAAGCACATTGAGATGCAGTCTACCATGAAAGGTGCTATGCATGGGTCATTTTTATGTATTATAGACATATTATCACAGACACAAGGTCAACAAGAACAAATAATATCTTGAATTTTCTGATCAGAATTATAATGTTGGATTTATGGTTTATTTCAAATACAAAGGGCAAGAGGGCCCCATTATTAATGTTAACAATACATATGGTTCTTAAGCAGTGTCCAGTTTTCAGGTAAATACAAATCACGGTTTAGTTGTAACTATATTACCCTCATTGAAAAAATGTAATATACTGTGCCTTTTAAATTGGTGCCCAATTTATTTTTATTATTTATTTTTAACATTGCAAGAGTGGGGAGGGCAGTATGGGGTCATAGACAGATTTGAATATGGTTGTTTAGCACAGTCTCATACTCATCATTGCTATGAAATTTGCGTTATTGCAAAAAGGGGCTGCCTAAAAATCTGTAGTGTGTTCTGGGCTTATGACACATGATTTTCTTAGCAATAATATGGGTGATATGTTGTGTGTCCAGGCCACAGCCGCACAGTGGTGGGGCTGGAGCAGAGGAGGAGTGGGGGTCTCTGTCTGCTGATCCTGGACCCTGGCTCGTCTTCGTCAGACCTCCGAAGAGTTCTCAGTCCAAACTCGAGGTCTGCGGCTCTGCGACAAATGCGCAAGTTTCCCTCTGGACTCAAGCACACGCAGTACCAGCTGGTGGCAGCAGAGGGAGTCCTCTCTGAGCAAGACAAACTGGTATGTGTATGAAGTGTTCACTGTGTGTAGTATAATGGGGTCGCTGTCAGGTACTCAGTGTCGCTATAATTTAGTGGTAAATCTCTTATCAACCTACATTTCCATGGTTTAATGGCATTCGAAGCCCAACAAACTTTATATATAATATAATCAAGTGACATTTGCAGAAACTATGTAAATCACTACTTTTTCTGGAAATACTTAATTCAATATTTCAAAGAAGCGTATTGGAGGTTACTTCAGGTTTCATAGGTTGTTTGTATTATTGTATTGGACTGAGGAATGTGGGTTACAGTAACATGACACTATATTAGCTGCTCTTTAAAGCAACAGTACATTACCTTCAAGGTAGACGATCAACGTGATTCCACGGAAATAAGAACGTTTAAAAGTATGAGTCAGGTTTGTGAAGATACAAGCCAAGACAGACATGTATAATACTTTTTTCCAGTGTCATGATAACATTAGAGGTGGAAAGTATATTTCATATTATTTTTTATTATCTTTTGCTAAGAAATTACAAAAATGGCTTTCAATATTCAAATCTTTAGCAGTGCAGGGCTGAAGCAGACCAGTATTAAACCAGTCACACCCCTGGTCTCTGTATAATGTACTTCTGCAGACATCTGAACATTCTGAATGCATAATCAGTTTATTTATTTGTCTTTTGTCAGACGAGCATCTTGAACTCAAAGACGTTACGTGCCGAGCGGATCCCGTGACCCAGTCCTCTGTTCCTGAGGACGAACGCTGCTAATATTTATACTGTTTAATTGTGTTTTCAGATAAATAAATATCTTTTATCCCATCCTGTTTCTGTGAGAGTGGTGTATACTAGGTAATGTTTACAGACCACTGTCAAAACCCAACCTAAAGATTAAACGGAAATGCAACCTCCAAATCACCTAACATTTTAAATCAATGGTGTAGAGTTAAAAAATTAGAGCTACATAAAATGACAATCAAAATATTAACACTTTGGTCTCAAGTAATATTTCTCACTTAAAATCTACTCTAAAGTTTATATCAAGAGAAGGATGCAACTTACAATCCACAATTGTTACTTTTATTGTAGGTGAGCTTGTATTTATTACAGGTAATAGGTATATAGGAAGGTATCATGCATTTTTTATTTTTCACTGCCATTTATGTGAAAACCAAACTTTTATCCATAATAATCCCATATAGTTTATTCCAAAAGGATCTTGTAAAAATAAAATATTGTAAACAAATCAGGAAACAACATGCTGCACATAAACATAAGTCCAAAAAGGTTAAAGTCCACTGCTGCTTCCTCTGCGTTGTCCTGGTCTTTGAACACACGTAATCACATCATTAATGAACCATTTTTTGTTGTGATTTTCCATTATTATCTTTAAAAAAATGTCTCAAAGTTCCAAACTGTGCTGACGCGCGTGAGCATCTTTTGTTGTTAGTTTCTCTAGTGCTGATTAACTGCTATTACACAGTCCGCGCGGATTAACTGTGTCACCGCGACTTTCCCTTTTCTTTTCTCACCCCCAAAACAAAGCGCTGTGCTTAAAGAAGCGCGAAGTGGTAGAGGGAGGGGTGCAGAGGGACGTGGTTTCAGCCCGGAGCCAGGGGCCAGTGCCACTCGCGCTGCTCGACTTTCTCACTGAGGCTCCAACAGGTAAGACTCATATGGTTTATTTGGAGTTATAAAGTTTGTATTGTGATTGGTGTTCGTTTATGCGACTTAAATATTCAGTGATCCATTATGTATTAATAATCTATGGCTCTGAATTATTTGTTTGTGGATACAAGACGCCATGTTTCAATATTTTGCACAATTATCTTGTACCAGTCCAATAACTTACCAAGGATGGACAACAACAAAAATTAAATAATTCCGCCGGGTGGAACATAAATATTTGCGTAGCATATTTTATACATGTGTATTCGTTGCCATCACCCCTCCTTTTGTCCATACACACTTATGTGATGCCAAAAATCTGTAACCTTTGCAATATACATTTATGCTGAGGTGTATTTATTTGTGCTGGTCAAACCCTTCAAACTGCATGACATCACTATTATTCAAAGGTGGCTTTGGGAATATCATCCGATGCTGAATCAAACTAAAACATGTGCAATGTACTTTTGGATGAAACATGTAACTAAATTCAATAACACTTGATGGGAGCCCCATTACAACTGCAGATGCATTTCGAAAGATAGAGAATTTATTGATCCTCCGGTGTTCAGCAGCACATACATCCATAGAAACCAAACGAATAAATACATAACAGCACCACAGCAGAGGTGGTGTAGCCATTTTCTCTGCTCCAGGAGTATGCTAAATGCTTTATTAGCATAAAAAAAAACATTAGCAATTCTCCAGTGGATTTACACTTGATCTGCTTGGTTCTGACCGTGAACCCTTTCTGCCCTGGTCTTGATCAGTGTAAAACCAAGAACACTATACTGCAGTAGAATTTACAGCTTGAAAAAAAATAGAGCATAAAACAACTGTTTTAGAGCTACTGTACTTTGGACTTGCTGCTGTTCCCGGAACATTCAAAAGTAAAATGTAAGTACCTGGAGATGTGGCTGGATGGTGAGCTGTCACTTTGGTAAGAAGTGAAACAAAGCTGAGGACAACTATTGTTTACCAACAACACAAAGAAACACACTAATAAATACACAATAAATACAACTAACCTTAAACTGATGTTGCTACTGGTTAATGATAACAGTCTCAAGGCACTTGAATACTTGTCAACCTCTCTATGTAAACTTTTGTTTGAAAAGAAAAAAAAAACTTTTACATGATAAATTAAGCTGGCTGCCGTCGGAAATATTTTCTCTCTGGCACACCTCTATTCCCAGATGTGCTGATGGTACACAATTGAAGCTTAAGCACAAATACAGACTGGAAGACCTCATGCCACACTGATCTCCCTCTACACACCTGCACTGAGCTCAACAGCAATCAGCCTCAGCTGCTCAGTAACACACCTGTGCTCATCATGGCTGCATTTCATCAGAGCCTCTCAGTTTACTGCAGCTCATGCTGCTGCTCGAGGAGCAACCCACTTCCTCCCCATCACTGCCACTTCAGTGGAGTTTTGTGTCATCTCTTCAGCTCAGCTTCTTCACCACCAGGGTCTAGGCCCCAGGGGGTCGCAAGCTCATAATTTCTATTAAACTCCAAAAGGCAAACGTCATGCAATATTCCTGCCAAAGTCTAATTTCCAAAGCTTAATAATAGTAAGTCTGCTGATGTTTATTCATGCATCTCAACAATAAAGATTATGCAATATTCATCTCGAGTCTTGCCAGATTGAACTGTCTGCATATATTTTTCCTTATTGTTCCTTATTTTTCCTTATACCTCAAACTATCCAATAAGACACATGCAACAACTTTACTTCACAGTCCCAGGATTCACAAAGAAATTGGATGAAGAGCCTTCTCCTTCAGAGCTGCTGCAGACTGGAACACTCATTGAGATTGATTACCATGCCAAATCCTTTCAAGTCAACACTATATACCAGAGGTATCCACATTTTTTGTGAGAGGGGTGACCCTCTCACTAAAAAGTTAACCAGACTTGTCCAGGGGCTGACATCCTGGGTTGTAAAACTGTTTTGACTGAATTCGAGCTGTTCTGATCTTTATAATTGGCTATGACAGAGCTAAAGTTTGCTGAATGACAAATTACTATCTCACCACTGTAATTAGCACCCATGGGGCCACATTTGATTGGAACTTTAACATGGACTTTTATACCAGTAATGCTGTATTATCACCAGCTTTATCACCTACACATTCTGTTATATTCATCCATAAATATTAGGATATTTTCCAGCATCTTGGTTTTGAAATTAAATAAAGAAAAGGCATCACACTGCAGACCAGTGGGGGCGGGTCCCCGCTCAAGAGAGCCGTGAACATGTGTGCTTACACGCTTGTATTTTGACTCCTTGCCGGTGGTGGCGTAACCGGAAATAGAACTATCTTTTTTCCTGTCAAACACAGCTTTACAGCCTGGTGGAATGGAAAATGAATCAAAACAAACTTTCAAACTGAGTCTTCTTAAGTCACAGCGCAGTGCACCCTGATCTTGAGGGAATTGCAAATGGATAATAATAGATAATAGATAATTTTAAACAATAAACTCTATAAGAGCTGTCCATGCAACCTCCAAAAGTCCCAAACTCTGACGATAAGAGCTTCACTATTGTCCATTGTGTCACTTCACCTGTCCTACATGTAAGCTACTGTATGGCTTAGAAAACCGCGTAAAGTTCAGAACATGACGAAAAAAAAGACTATGACCAAGACGCTAAAAGGTCAGCAGAGGTTAGATGCCGAGTCATTCTGTCATGCCAACTCCTGTCGCTCATAGAGAAAGGAAAAGACGACCTGGAGTTTGTTGTAAAAATTCCCATGTGTTTGTGCACAGAGAATGAGGCTAGTGACTGTATTGTATTTACAACCAAGTACTAATTGGGCAGGTACGTCAAAATACAAGAAGACAGAAGAAAAATAACCTTTTATTCTTCATAAAAGTCTGTGGGGGGAACTTTTGAGAATGAGACATACATTCCCCAAATATAGATTTTTAAAGGAGTTAGCAGCACAAGAGCTTTTTCAATGCTTCTTTTCCAACTCATACTCTTTGGTCAGCCACTTTGCCTTCAGTCTTCAGAGAGCGCTGCTCTTCTGTTTCCATGAGCTTTGGAGCCAACGTACTGGACGTAACCTCCAGCAGAGAACACTCTTGCTGTTCTGCCCTCTGTCCCTCTTTGAGATCTTCACAAAATGGCAGTTTTCTCTTGTTGCTCCCACTTCAGGTCGTTCAGTGACTCGTTCAGGTATTGCTTGGCGTCTTTTTCCTTAGGTAGTTGGCCATGAACCTTCTGGACCTGCAGGTTTAGCTTGATCTCCCAATTTTTGGACTTGTTGATCACTTTGTGACTCTTTGTATTTATAATCCCAAGGACAATTTGGGGTTAGCAAGGAAGAGGATCCAATTAAAATAACCCAAAGGGACGCAATTGGCCCTGCTTGCTAAATACTCCAAAGCTGAATGCACATACTGCTAAGAATGTTCTTTTTAAACAATATAAAATCAATTACAATGTAGAGCTGTGCTTTTTGTTTTTGTCTGTCCACTTGTTGACTTTTTGTGGGGTCCTTTTTGTATCTAGTGTACATGATTTTCTTATGAAATTAGGCCGCCCTTGAAAATGAGATGCTGAGTCTTTAAATAAATAAATAAACATTTTCTGTATTTTTCAGGTGGATAACTTGGAATCAACTGAGAGCAGGGGAATAATAGCTCTGTTTACGAAAACCGGAGAAGCTGGACGAGCCACGCAAAAGTAATCCACACTTATATTCCTTGTACCTAGTTCTGCGTTGGAGCTTGAATCATTATGCATTCTTTCCTTGTATTTTCTAATTTTTAAGTTAAGCAGATGACGAGTTGAAACGTGCTAAAAACAATCACTGTACACAAGCATAATGATTGGGATGAACGGTACATTGTGCAAGTTGTTCTCTGGTTCCACATGAACCATTAAAGGGTGATTTCAGAAATGTGAAAACTGGTCTTTGGTGGTTGAACTGTGATTTGATTGGTTGCTCTTCTGAATTCTTTATATTGTGTTTTAAGAGATACATTTAAATTGAATTTTTTGGTGGCAGTGGCTGAGTGGTTAGTACCCTCACTTTTCAGGAAGATAAGTTTGAATCCTGGTCAGAACAGAGCCTCTCTGAGGGGAGTTTGCATGTTCTCTCGGGTGGGAATGTGACTACTCAATAGTATTGCAATATTTGGTGCAAACACTTAGAAGGATAGTGCAAAAAGGCTTCAAAAAATGTGACATTATTCCTAATGCTGGGTAAAGGGTAAAGATCCAAAAACGTTGGTCACACGTGTTTTGAAAGCCATTCATTGTCAATATAAACCCCTGCAAGATAAGTCATTTTAACGTTCACGTTACTTACTCTCTCGCTCTTTGCCCCTTGCTCTGCTTGGCACTCACCCGCTTCCATGGGATCAGCTCCGCAGCCTCTGCTGCTCTTCATCGGTCGGTCCTCTCCTCACAGAGTCATGCACTGCTTCGTCCGTACGGTCGTAGATGTGGAGCCCAGTTTCCCAGAAAACTCAACTTAGTGAATGGCAGTTGAATGTTGAATCAAATGCCCTTCGCTTTTAATGCCGCTTTGATTGGTGTGTATGCTTTACGCTTCTCCATCTACACTTCAGACTTCACATACGACACACACAGCTGCCACCTGCAGAAGTTCTCCGACAACTCCGCCATCGTGAGCTGTGTGTCTGAGGGGAACGAACTGGAATATCGGTCGGTTATCACAGACTTTGTCGACTGGTGTGAGCGCAACCACTTGTGCTTGAGTACCAGTAAGAGATGGTCATCGACTTCAGGAGAAAACCACTTTCCCACACGCTGCTTAACATCCAGGGGGAGGACATTGAGCTGGTGGACAGCTTCAAGTACCTGGGTGTTCACATTAACAATAAACTGGACTGGTCCCATAACACTAACACCTGTACAAGAAGGGCCAAAGTCGCCTCTTCCTTCTGAGGAGGCTGAGGTCCTTCGGAGTGAGCAGGCCTCTGCTCAGGACCTTTTATGACTCTGTGGTAGCATCAGCCATATACTACGCTGCCATATGCTGGGCCCCGGGCAGCACAGAGCGGCACAGGAGCAGACTGAACAAGCTGGTCAGGAGGGCCAGCTCCACTCTGGGCTGCTCCCTGGACTCTGTGGAAGAGATGAGGGACAGGAGGCCCCTGGACTCTGTGGAGGAGGTGAGGGACAGGAGGGTGCTTGCCAAAGTCACCTCCATCATGGACAACACCTACCACCCACTGCACAGGACTGTAGAGGAGCTGAGGAGCTCCTTCAGTGGAAGACTGAGGCACCCTCAGTGCAAGAAGGAGCGCTACCGCAGGGCCTTTATCCCCACCGCTGTCAATCACTTTAAGTCACTTGCACTAGGACTGAAAAACCTGCACTACAATTGACACTGTTTCTTGATTGCCACTTTTTATTGTACATAATATATCCTGCATTTAACATGTTTGCACATTTCTTTCTTTTGCACAATCTTGAGTGTTTCTATCCATGCCAGATGTGACATGTAAATTTTTCCTGCGTGAGATCAATAAAGTCTATCTTTTCTTATCTTCTCAATGATTCTAGATGCATAGTCATCATCAAAATAAAGGCGGCGTATCCTGTAGAAATTTTACAATGATTGATCTTGGCGCTGCAGTCACAGCGGGTTTAGGAATCAGTGCTATATGAGCACGTTGTATTTGCTGTTGGACCCCTTCTGGTATTTCAGTCTGATTTTAAGCAGATCTGCAACAAAGTTACGCACTGAGGGGCCCTCAATCTCCTCCAATACTCCATAATAGAGCATGTTGTTTCTATGGCTACGGCCCTCCAGGTCTATAATATTATCGTGCATTTCCCAGTTTTTTCTAAATGTAGAAATCAAGATCTCCTTCATTTCCATGCACGCCAGCTCTAGACATGTTTGCACTGTGGTCACATCTTTCCCGGCCTGAAGTTTGTGCTGCAACTTCTCTCTGAGCAGTTAAAATCCTCAGTCAAAGTATTTTGTATCGTCCTTGAATTCCCCCATCAGATGTTTTATTTCCGTTTTAATCTCACGGACTTCATCTGCATCAGCGAGCAGCTCTTAGTGTTGAGCATGGATCTACTATATTACGTGTTGAGATGCCATGCTAACGTGTGCTTCTATATTAGCCTCGTTAGTTTCTTCGTCACTGCTCCCCTCGGTCTTGACGTTTGTTTCCTTTGGTTTTGGCATTTTAGCTCCCAATCTTGTTATGCTTAGGCATTTTTCCCTTGCGGTCTTATTTTGACACACTCGACCTCTAAACTATGCGTCCATCTTTACTAATTATTATCAATTGCAGAGCTAAATATTGTGACGCTAAAAATAATCAATTTTTTCCCCAACACTAATGTTCTCCGTTTTCTGCCTACCACTAAAACATGTAAAACATAGCTCCGCTGACTGAAGTGCTAATGCGGATGAAGAAAGTACATTATAACATTGCACATGCCCATACGAAGTTCTGGTGCAGCATAATCTTGTCACATCAGCCCCATCATATTGCAAGGCTCATCTCACTATTCTCATTTGGGGAAGGCTGACGAACATGAGCAGTAATCAGTCATTGTAGTATGTTGTGTTCTCGTCTCAGTGACTGGGATCATTCCGACGGTTGGGAGCCCAGAGCTGCTGCTGCACCGTGGCTGTGTGTTGATCCAGGGGACTCACTTACCTCATGAAGTGGACCAGATCCGCGACCTGGAGATCCGCGACTCTGACGTGTTTGTGGTCACATTCCCCAAATCAGGTAAGACTATAAAATTATGTTATTTACATATACTTTAACCCCTTAATACTTTTACCACTTCCAGCTAATTGTGACAGTGAGGATCTCTGAATCTTATTACATTTAAAGTAGCAATATGAAAGATTTTCATGTCAAGTCATCATTAAATGGCCCTTATATGTCAAAAGGCACCTGCTCCTTTTGTGTTTGAACATGTAAATTTGTTCAACTAAAAATTCAATTTGGTTCAGAGATGCTCACATAATTTTTTGGAGACAAAAGGCAGAAAAGACCACATTTCTGTCTATGCTGGGAACAGATGGAAAAGATTTGCAAGTGAGTGTTTTGTGCGGGGGTGCAGGATGGGCAAGTTCTTGTCATTAGCTGAAGAACAAAGGCTGCATCATCTCTGTAGTCATATATTCAAAGCTCAGATTGTAACGGGAAAAGAGTGATGTATGCCTTAAAAGCCGTTCTATAGACCAAACTTTAATTTGGAAACTGTTTTGGTTAAAATGAACAGATGCGCACCTGCCCTGTTATAATATTTGTAATATGGTTAGACTAGAGTTTGCATAAGCTGTAATGCCAAACTTGGGGATATACCAGTTGCAGTTACATCTTTATGATGACCACCAGAAATATACACAATGCACCTTGAACAGTATACATTTAACAGGCCTATTTTGAATGTATGAAAAAAAAAAGTACTTTGGGGCTTGAGCCCAGGTCGGAAGTCTAGTGTCCCGCTGGGGGGGCATTCTGGGTCAGGCCTATTTAGTATGGAAGCCTTTGACACATGCGTCCTGCTGCTTATGTGAAACCAATGGATTTGAGCTGAGAGCAAGAAACCAGCTCATCAGGACGCATGAGTGTAAGGGCCAAATAGGACACGCGTTCCCACAGCAACTCCACAAGCAAACTTCATTCAAATATTTGTTTAAGTTTGCAAGGAGTGCAGTAAGAAACGGTCTATGTAAGAAAATATGTATTTAACATTGTAAAGGAACATATTAATATAGTCAGTGTGTGATTATTTTTCATTTTGATTAAGATTGAGCGCAAACTTTGTTAACCTATTGTAATTGTGGCCAAGAATATTGCAACATTTTGGTTCTGGAGAAGATATGAACAGTATTTATTTAGCCACTAGATGTCATACTAAACCACAAGTATGTATCCAAAATAATCTTTATAATGAAATCTGAAGATTGGACCATTGCCTTTGACTGAACACAACACTATCATCACTTTAAAGTGCCATGTGACCTTGGATTTGTTCTCCTAATATATATTCTTAATAGGACTGTTTTTGTTAGTTTTTCAAACATTTTAAATATGTACAGAGTTCAATCAAATGACGTCTAAACAAGCCCATATTTAGAATAATTATAACAGCAGCCTATAACCTCCAGGAAGCTACATTTAGTAGACAAAACAATAAAATGATCTGACTTGAGCATGCTTTACATGTCAGTAAATGGTAAAGACATCCAAAATGTTTTAGCTGTCCTGGGTCAAAAGGAATATGTGAAATGGTAACAAGGTAAAAAATGTGCACAACAGCGGTAGTAGCCCCGAAGCGTTACATGATGCGAATAATACACACTTCTTTGGGGCTATATCTAATAGTAACTTGTGTTACTATTAGAAATAAAATGTCAATAAAATAGAATGTAGGATGTGAAGCACAGCAACTTTGAACCATGTATAAAATACATCAAACTCACTCTTAGAACGGTATGGTTGCATTACTAGTTTTCACATGCATGTATATTTGGCCACATCTTTAGATCAGATTTTTCATGAAGGAAAAATGAAAAAAAAAAAATCATCCTAAAGTGTCAAATAATGACTCACACAAATGTTTTGTGATAAGATTGCATATGTGATTTGATAAGATACAAGGCTTTTTCTGCCTTGTATCTTTTAATTGGTTGGTTATGTATCTCTATGGACAAGCTGCACAACTGGTAGATTTCCCACAGTGTTAACAGTTGTGTTACGGACCATGTTTTTCTCCTTGCCTCCACCTGCTCAGATTCTCCCACCTCCAGCTGATTACGTTCTACCCCAAGTGTGGGGCTTTTTCTTTCTTGTGCATAGAAGAGGGGTTTTATTTGCACATTTAGGTTTTTGGTATAATAAACTTTTGTTACTTTTTGGACCACTGCCTCCCGTCTCTGTTGCACACTCGGTAAATTCAGTTATTGAGCCACCCTCCTAGACTCTAGAGCTCTCTTAAGCCCACGTTGGTTTGTGTTCTATGGTGTGTTCAGGGACCATCTGGATGCAGCAGATCCTGTTATTGCTCCAGTCCAAAGGCGACGTGGAGCGGATTAGTAAAACAGACAAGTTTTCCAATGGAGACGTGGTGCCGTGGATTGAGGTGAAGGGACAGGTCCACAAGTTTGTCAAAGCAGAGTCCCCGCGCTTCAGGGTTACCCACCTGCCCTACACTTTCATGCCCATCGCACTCAGTCACAAGAAGGGAAAGGTAAGTGTCTCAAGCGGGGAAAGTTCTTGAAGCATTCTGAACTCAGAAAGGGGTGTCCCCTAAATACGGGACATTCTGAACTCTGTTCAGAAGAGTGTTTGTAACAGTGGCTCAGTTGGTAGAGCATTGGCCTTTGAGCCTGAAGGTCGTGGGTTCGAGCCCACTACAAGACTTTCTCCACCGACTCCCACTGATTTCTGCTGTCGTTGTGTCCTTGGCACTAACCTCTGGGAGTACTGGGGGCCACAGTGAGGCGGCTGCGGAGTGCCTAACTGCTGTTGTGTCCTTGGGCAGAACACTTCAACCACATTGCCGGGAATGAGTCTGGTGTGTGGGTGAATGGTTGGTGGTGGTTGGAGGGGCGATGGCGCATGCCCACAGTGCCCCAGGGCAGCTGTGGCTACAATAGTAGTTTATCACCACTGTGTATGGAGTGAATACTCAGGGAACAAAAGTAGTCATTGGTACATCTGAGTTGGTTTTTTTATATGGCCACATAGACATAATAGAAAATGTCTTTCAGAAAAGGTGGGTCCCCTGAATAAGGGTTGTTGGTTTGTGTCTGTTTTAGGTGATCTATGTGGCCAGAAATCCCAAAGATGTTCTTGTGTCATTCTACCACTTCCACAAGCTGGCCATGATGCTGGAGACACCCAGGAGCTTTGGAGACTTCTTTGACAAGTTCTTAAAAGGCGAAGGTAGTACATTAGTACTATGATGTAGTCGTGTACATGTTTGGTATGGTATGTAAAGCTCCATATAATTGCAATGTAAGCTCATCGCCACATGTCTGCCCAAGCCCTTCATCAGACATCACCACTATGGATAATCTGGTCTCTGAAGCATTAAAGGGAATCTTGAATGCAAGTTGGCAGTTAGAGATACCTGTATATTATATAATGTGGAAATGTGTTGTGTATATGGGATGTGATGATTACCCCATTCAAATCTTTAATAATCTGCGGTGTATGCACTGAATGATATTTTGGCTTTTACATGGCCTGAAGACATAAAATGAGCTCTGACTGTGATGTTTGTCTGTTTTAGTGATGGGAGGAAGCTGGTTTGAACATGTCAAGTCATGGTTTTCTCACAAAGATGACCTTAACATGCTCTTCATCATGTATGAAGAGATGGTTCAGGTATTTTGGCCTTCACAGGGAACCACTGATGACAAAATTATCATTTGCTTTAGCCTTTCATTTAAATCTGTATAATGTTCAGAAAGTATTATTACCAAACTAGCGGCACAACATTCCCTGTAATTGCTGTCAGCACCGCCATCTACTGGCTACACTGGAAAAAGGCACAAGAAGTAAAATATCAGTGTTGGTGCTTCATTGTTGTTAAAGACAGAAACACAAGAATGTGTCTGAAGATAATTGACTTTAAACACAAATCTCCAGAATTTGCTGCTGTTCATACTAGATTGGTCGTTGGTCTGACATCACTCAGGACTCAAGTCAATTTCGAATAATTTGCTTAAACTAGATCCACATTTTATCTTTGAGGTTTAGTTTCCCTTATTTAGAACTTTTCGCTATTTTATGTAATTCAAGTTTTTTTTGTTCTAGAAGTATGAAATGAATGAAATATTTATTTCAATCTCAGTATCTTTTAGGTCTTCTGAATGTTGTTTACACGTGGCAGTGAGGCAAAAAATATGAAATAAATGAAACACCTTTGAAGGAAATCTATCATTGAATAAAACCTAAAACCTCCCAAGAAAGGCAAAGTAATTTTATAGTAACAACATCTCCATACAGAGATGTGGACACACACAGATCAAATATTCCACAATTTGATTTTCAATAAAAGTTGTTATTTTTGTTTTAGGACCTCACGGCAGCAGTGAGAAGGATTGCAGAGTTCCTGGACATAGAACTGACCCAGGATCAGTTGCAGAATGTAGTAAAGCACAGCACCTTTAAAAACATGAGGAAAATCCCCCAGGCAAACTACGAACAGGTGCCCGGAGACCTGCTGGACCACCACCAGGGCAGCTTTATGAGGAAAGGTACTGTTAAACGTAATCATTCAAAGAAAAGATGTAATTTTTAAACTATTTGCATACATGTGAATTGAGAATCAGAGAAGGCAAAAAAAATATTGTGAGAATATAGATACTTTATTGATCCCCCGTAGGAGAAATTCAGGTGTGCAGCAGCAGAAGACTCATCCAGGTTTGTTGTACAGTCTGACAGCCGAAGAAACGTTCTGTTCGGCAGCAATATAGCTTGGTACCCACTGAATATACTGTAACTTGGTGGGCAGAGTTACCATGTCTACAATTCATCATTTAGCATCTGAAATGTCAAATAATGTAGTGAATGACTGTGTTGCTCTTCTTGTGCATCACTAATGATTTCATGTTTATTTTTTCAATCTTACACTGGTACTAGAATAGTCTTTACTGGTTGATTGTTAATGTGTTTATAAAAGCCCTCCATCGTCTGTCAGAGATGTGTGGTGGTGTGTCACTGACGGCTCTCACCCACTACTGTTTGAGTACCTCACAGCGAGTTACACTGTGTGAAAAATATGTATGTAAAAGAGGAAGTAATATAAATGATGCAAAATATTTACCTTGTGTGGTATTTTTGAGAGTTGACCTAAAACAACAAAAGGAAAAGAAATACTCTAACTAGAATTTGACATTAAAAGCACTTACTGTTGTTTCTGTCCTTGTTGCAGGCATCACTGGGGACTGGAAGAACCACTTCACAGCAGCTCAGAACCAACAATTTGACGAAGTCTTCAATCGAGAAATGAAAGATTTTCCAGTGTCATTTACTTGGGACATAAGTGACACTTCATAATCCGTCACCAAAGAGCATTGTGGGAAACTGTACATTATACTACAGAAGAGAGAAGGGACTGGAGGGAACTGGTATTAACAGAGCTCCTTTCTTTCCTATAATTAATGGAAACAAACAGCCGTCCTTGCAGACTGACGTTCAATTTTGGTCTATCCTCTGCTGGTATAATGTCAGCGGAGGAAGCTTTTTACCCAGAATGACTCTGCACAGTCAGGAGTGAAGAACAGAAGAGCAACAAGTGCATTTATTGATTCTTTATTTGTTTAAGTGCATCTCCTTGTAATTCTGTTTCACAATGATCATGTCCTGAGAATGTCATATTTCCCTATCCCTATACAGAGCAATCCAAGTTTCTATGGCAAGATGGACAGACACACACAAAAACATTGTATTGTAGTTTTGGAATTTACATACAACAACTAAGCTATGTGAATAGGTTTAAAAGTTGAATTAATGACCATTGTTTTCGACCCATACCTATGAGCAGTGCTGTACCCAGGGTCATCTCTGGATTTTAAGACTTTTGGCCGGACATAGGTGGGGATCTGATATTTTGCACACAAGCCCAACCTGTATTGCTGTACATGTAATATATTTATATTTTCTATGTATATGCAATTGACCTCCATTTAGGGTCAATTTTAAGATGAGTTTTTAATGAACCATGTTGTGTGCAAGGAAAAATACCTCCACCACAATTTTCTTGTTTGAGTTGAAAGCAGTTTGAAAGTTTGAAAGAAAGTGATAATTAGAAATTGATATGGTACAAATAATTAAAATGCATTGAAACCAGTCTTTTAAAATATGTTGTACCTATTATATGCATTAAGTTTTATATTTGATGCCAATCAAAACCAATGGAATTTCAGGAAGCAAAATTCAAATAAAGTCAATAGACACATATAAAGGCACATAAGACAAAGTGACATTTATGACCTGTTTATAGTCCACTTGTCCAATCAACTTGTTTTGGGTGTGTTAATTTTATTTACACTTCAGTCCTAGATGGCGCCAAATCTGTTGCTTTGGCGCCATCTCCTGGCCGTGGTATAGAAAAGAAACAAGTGCACCAAATCTTTACCGCATTTGTCAAAATTTAATTGCTCAATAGGCTTGATACAAATAAAAATGTAATAAATTTGAAGCACTTATTGTGGATTTCCACTTTCTGAAGAGTCTTTAGAAAATAAAAGTTTTTTCTTTGCATTGGACTGGATTTATCTAGACCCCTAATGTCCTTCAATCTTCATCGCTCCCCATCTCCAAAGGGTCAAAGTCTGGGTCATCTTCATCCAAATCCAAGTCCTCCATATCCTGGAATAATGATTCATCTACTTCCACGTTGTTTCCAGCTGCAACGTAAATTCAACTCATAAACTTTGTCCTTATACACGCAAAAACAGCATAAATGAGCTTTGATCTTACTATCTTCAAGAAACTGGATGTCTGATGTGTCGAGGTTGTGGTCCGTCTCAAAGAGCTGTTTGCCTACATGGGAAAGACAGCCAAGCATTTATAACACATTCTGGGCCACAGAAAAACAAAAACAAATTTTGAATATGAAACTGATTACCTGTAAGTTTAATTTTTCCAGTCTGCTCCTCTTCTTTCTGCCTTTTCTTCCTGATTTCTGTCATTTCCAGCTCAAACTTTGCTTTCCAGGACAAAAAATGTTCTATTGTGACCACTGTGCCTTGGAAGGCTTTCTGTTAAGGAAACATCACACATATTAGATGAAGCACTGAATTGAGTTCACAGGTGGTGAGCGATGTTCTCAATGCTACATCCCATTGCAGGCTCATCTGTTTTTGTTTTTTCTGCAGAAGTTAAAACCAAAACGGATGAACCTGCTCTGGGATATGTTACACCTGTTGATGTTAACGTTAACAGGTGTAACATAACAGGCCGCATCAAGAGAGAAGCTGGTCAAATTACAAATGCAAATGTGACTGCTGCTATCAACATCCTGATGGCGCTTCCTCAAAAGAAAGTGCCCACGAGCGTGTACACGGTCACAGTGAACAAGGTTCTGACAAATAATATGAGCACGAAGCGATTATAAGTGACAGATGGATGTGTACTCTGTACCATCTACAATACAGATAACTTATAAGCATTTATTGCTTTCCTTCCAACAAACTGCATAAAGAAAACATGGTCATCAGTTGAGCGTTAGGGTTTGGGCATTATGAATCACTAATCCATTAAGAATCAACCCAAATGTGATATTCTGCTGTAGAGTATAGCATGTCATAATGGTAACTGTCTCTGGTTCAGTCCAAAATGACAAAAGCGCTGATGTAAAAACTGCAACAAAGTTTTGGCTCTTGTTATCTATACTCTTTGATTAGGGTTACGGCCGTTTTATTGTTTACCGTCATTTCCGGAAAATAAGCCACTACTTTTTTCTAGTTCTTTGAACCCTGTGGCTTACATAGCAATGCGGCTAATATGTATTTTCATTGTGGTAGAGTTGAGCTGTTGTCAGAGCAGAGTTTATGGACTTTTTAGCAGCTATAAGACAAAAACTTTTAACTTTTAAAAAGTTAAAAGTAACATTAAGTGGCCTGGTGACTAGCAAAAGAAAATTATTATCATAATAAAAACAACATTGCAATAAATACCGTACTGAGATCAATATTGATATTTGGATATTGTTACAGCCAGTAACAATATCAAACAATAACAATAACAAATTCTTTATGTAAAAGGCAGTTACATGTTTTTACACTGACCTTCTCCGCTTCCTCTGCCTCCTCCTCTATCCTCCGTTTCTCTTCTTCTCGTCTGGTTTTCATAGCGTCCACGATTTCATTGAGTTTTTCCTGAACGGCTGTGACTAACGTGAAAATCATCACCATACCCAGGTTTTCTTCTGCCTGAGGGGAAATAAAACCAGAATGTATTAAATAATTGCCTGAAGCAGAAGAGCATGCAGGTTCTCTATTCAAAATGTGAAAAATTAGAATAAAAAATAAAACGAGGAAATGTATTCATTTACTAGCTTTCATTTGTGCCTAAAACACATTGCAATAAATACCGTACTGAGATCAGTCTGATCGCTGCTTATCACTTTCATATTTTTCATGTGCATATTTTCATGATTTCTGCCTCATTCTCACAATTCAGTGCTCCGTGGGGTATAACTCATTAACAGGTGGTTTTGTAATTTATAACAGCTTAGACTCTCCTATTTGGCATGTCTGCTGATTTATGTGTATGTTGGTGTAACGTAGCTTTGTTGACGCACCTGTTGTTGTAGTAGTGCGAGTATCTCTTTCGTGTCAATGTCCTCTAAGTTTTCCTGTGACTGAATTTCCCAAAGCGGTGCCTCGTCTGGATAATTCTCCACATACGTGAACTTGAGCATGGTCTCCACCGCTGTAAACAAACAACACTGCTTTATAAAAGTCCAATGAAAACATTGTAGGGTTCCTAACCATATCGTCATTACCACGGACATTCTAAAGGGCTATTCTATTTTATCATTTCATCTAAGGCTGGGCGATAAGGCTGAAAACTAGATAGATACTTTATTGATCCCTGTAGGAGAAATTCAGGTGTCCAGTAGCAGCAAAAATAAAATTGATCAATTGTACGGATGTGCATTACCATTGACACGGCATTGAAACACGACACCTTTTTTCGTATCATTTTATTGCCCAGCCCTTTTTTAATCACAGCTATTTTTGTATGTAGATAGTCTGTTTAAATCTTAAAATCACATTTTAATTCTGTGTATGAAGCCGTTTACAATGAATAGATAATTAAAATGGTTGTTGACTGCTGAAAAAACGTGATTAGTTGTGAAATACCAATTACTCGTTACAGCTCTAGTTCAGATTGACTGAAAATGTATACGAGGTAAACCCTATGTTCTTATACTTTTAAAATATGTATGAATTACTCACTTTCTCCGTTTTCTCCTGCATCAGATGTAACTGTGATTGTGAAGCTTATGGGGTTGTCTGAAAGAACTACAACACAAGAGGTTCTGTTATGATTTTTGAAATAACTTGGAATAGAAACAACTGTAGAATGTAAAGACAATTTAGAAACTATTACTCTTAATATACATTTGAGGAGTGAGATAGTATTTTAAGTGATTTCAACAGATTTGTCAAGCAGCTATACATTACTAATTACAAAGCTGTTAATTAGTAAGGTGATGAAGAGGCAGATTTCTGCCTTCATCAGAGGTGTGATGTGTCTCATCAGCTGTGGTTGCAGATGCAGCCGTCAGACTGACCACGTACCCCGCTGCGATGTAGTCTCTGGAGAAGCAAGTGAGAGTGAGCCAAGATGGATATAAAGGGCAATTGAAATCTGAAAGCAAGGCGACCATCAACAGAGACAAGGGGGACGTTGGCTCACAGTTGCAGAGACCACAGTGTGGCAGGTTACATGGTCAGTCAGACGAATCTGCCTGATTTGTCAGACTGGCTGCATTGGATAACAGCTGTTGACAAAGAGACACCTTCGATGTAAGCGGTCTGCTGCCCAAACATGGCTAAAATAACCTTGTACTTAAACATAAAGAAAACATAATGATCTACTTACAATAATTTTGGCAATTAAATATAATTTAAATGTATGTATCCTACTAATGAGAAGACTTAAGATAAAGTCACAACCTGCTCGTGTCCATGGAAAAGTTCTTCCTTTGACAACAGTAGGCCATACACCTGCCTCATCTCTTGTTGAAAATATTCTGTATTTTATTCAATCCAAAAAATAATACAAGGGTTTAATAAATAGCGTTATATTTTCTCATCTACTCCCAGCACCACTGACAAAGTTAGTTATTCTTGCAAACAGGATTGATTTAGGAAAAAAAGAACCACAAAAAACTAAATGCCATAATGGACATTGATAATAATGGACAATAATAATGGCTTAGATATTTTTGAGATACTGAATGGTAGGTAGCTTACTGCAGCAATAACCATACACAATTATACAAATCCAATAATCTGCATGTCATTGCGCAAAATAAAAAAAACTATGTGACACAAACACCCTCAACAAATCTTTCCTTCAACTTGCTTTGGATCACTGTCTGTCTGGGCTGTCACAAAACGTCACTGTTCTGTTAGCCGCGTGATGCTAGCAGTTAGCTCAATGCTGTTCGCGGATAAACTTGCCTGTAAAAGAGTCCGGGTAGATGGACTCAATGGCCTCTAGCTCATTCCTCTGTTCCTCGGCGTAATCCGTCATGTTGCAGTCTGTTTCTGGGTTATCTAAGCCTGAGATAGACCATTACGCCGCTAAACTCATGAGCCAGGAGTGCACAGGGCTGCGTGCAGGAGCGAGGAGGCATGCGAGCTCACTCCACTAGCTTGGTCTGATCATGGAGGTATTCGGTCCATGGATGTATTGGGTCGGTTTCAATGCACCGGAACAAAAGATCAATGCAGATGATGTACTAAAACATGCATTCTTTATTAATATTTATTCATACAGACCAAGGTTACTAAAACATAAATAAAATACAAAAGATCGACTAGTTATGCCTGATGTTGAAAGCTAGAGAAAAAAAAATCACCACATTCCAGTTCCAGCAGCCAGTGAGTGTAAAATATATTTAATAAATCCATCTTATATTGTTCATTCATACCTCTTAAACAACTCATATATGATCAATTGTATTCCAAATATAAATTACGTTACAATATATCAAAACGTTTAAAATATGAATGATGTATTTGCAAAGTTAGTTTATTTCTTAAAACACTGACACACAGTATGGTCAGGACCAGAGCCACTCCCGGAGGAGAGTGTGGGTGGGGTGTCACAAGAACAGCATTTGGAGACACAGACTGCTGTATGTGAGGGTCAGTAAGATGAGTAAGAACAGTATTCCTCTGATCAGGAAGACCCCCACACTCAAGCTTCAAATCTCCACTGAAGGCTAAGGCTGAAATCCATCCAGTCATGTGATAACTTCCCAAAAACAGACTATATTTTATCTTAACCTTGGTCTGTGTTGTTCTAAGTAATCTATTATGTACTTTTGTATTCTATATAACCTATTAAAAATGTGCACGTTCTATCAATCATTCTTGATCTATATCAGCCTGTAACTTTCCATTTAACTACATTGACCCATTATCCCACAGACCATACATCCATCCACACAAGCACCCCCCACCCTCGAGGTAAATATGACCGTATCCACTTGGTGGCAACAACTTTATCACTATGTGTTGTGCTGGACAATAAGTAATTACTTACTGTTTAATAATACTATCAGACAAACTGGGAAACACTATTCTGGTGTGAGATACTTTCATTTATCGAGTTGTACTGTTATCATTGAAGTCAGTTTCTGCTGACTCCAACCCAGCACTGATTAATAATATGGCTGCAAAGTGAGTAATTAGACTGATACTATCAGCTGTGAGACTGACCCAAACGTGTCGCTGTGCTTTCTCTCTGAGGTAGAGCTTTGACTGTGGCCACTCAGAGAGATTTGTAAACTTTATAAAAGTACAATGACAGCACAATCAAAGAGCACTGCTGTGTGCCAAAAATGCCCAGTATCCTCACAGTTTAATTCCCGTTTGAGAATTATTTGGGAAACTCGTGTAAACCACTGATGAACTCCAGTGAAACTCAAGTGGGGTTGTGGCTAAAACGCAGAAGTGGTGCGTGCATAGAGCCCATACATGAGCCCATATCTTCCAGTTCTCCAGTAGGAAATATCAAGATGAAGGGCTGTTCATGTGATATTTCCCACTCATCAAGCGGTATTAACCATAATTACCGAAGCATTTGAAAGCACCTTAGTGTAGGAAAAATGTTGTGACCTTTGAGAGAACTTTTTTTAATATAAAGTCCTTAGAGACCCCACTTGGCACAGTATTGTAAACAAAATCAGATGTGAAAGTGAAAAAAGTCATTGATGATAGACTTATACAAACATCAAAATATATTTTATTTGCAGACAAATAAAGGTTGAAATACTGCAAGATCAGATTCTGATGGTGAATCTGTATCGTCTGTATAGACATTCAGTTCAGTGTCTGTAAACTGAGGTATGGCTTCGTTATGGAACCACACATCCGTGATATAAGATAAGATAAGAGATCCTTTATTCGTCCCACAGTGGGGAAATTTCGAAATTTATAAAATGGCAACTACAGACGCATGCGTTTTTCATCGTGTCTTTGGTCCAATCCTCCTGGTTGATAATTGTTTTTGCTAGCCCTTGCTAGATTGAAGCTTGGTTATATTGCTCTGTGACTGCCGAGAGTCCTTTGGGTTCGCTTGAAGACCTTGTTCGGTACTTGTGGTTAAAACAATCATAAATGCAGCAACCTGGGATTTTGATGCACTGATCCTGCGTCCTGCAGATGTAAACAACGCTGGTAAACGTGGTGGAGCCATTGCCTTGAGGCTACAAGGACGTAGGCTGTTAATGGCTCAATCAGTGGACTCAAACCTAATATTCTGAAATCCTCTGGTGTCCTTGTATGTCTGTGGAGAAAACAGCAGAGATGGGTCATGTGACTTTTCTACATTGATCAATCTGAAAACTGATTCATGCGCCTTTGGCTTAGTTCAAGAAATGACAGTAAGAGTAATAATAGTACATGCCTTCTTGTAAAAGTATTCACAATATATTTTAGAAACCACAAAAGACTATGCGGGTCTGGTACAACAAACTTTAGGTGCCCGTCAATGTTGCTAATGCAAAATCGTTGTCCATTTAGTTCTAATTTACTGAAAACTCAATAAAAAATGTGCTTCTCGACAGCAGTTGCTTAAGCCTGGTTTACACTGCTGACGACAATCTTAAAAACGCTCCGATTTTGGAAAAATAATTTGATGGATTCTCCTGCCATCTGTGGTATGTTAAGACTGGGTTCGTCGCTCAGAGAGATTTCGTGACTGCTCCAATCTAAAATCGTGGATATCCGACATGTTGGATTTTTTTGGCCCGATTTCTCTGGTGTGTGGTGTCCCCGTGATAGATCCATGAGTGTCCTCCGGGGACAGACGAGCACATTGCCAGTGGACTGCGGCGTGTAGCCAATCAGAAGACAAGGGGACGAGGCGGCAAGGAAACACCATGGATCTATAATAGTAACTGGATAGGGTATTACTAGCTTATAGCTGTCCCACCCAACCGCGGTAAAGTGGCCTCGCTTTTCCTCGGCAGCGGTAAAGAGGTCCGCACATTGAAAACGGTTGGCCCCTTTATGCTGTTACTTACGGTAAATGCAGACAAAACCGAAATAATTGTCTTTGGTCCCGAGAAACAAAGAGAGACCGTCATTTATCACCTTCAGTCTCTCTCCCTAAGGCCTTTAAATAAGGTCAGAAATCTGGGAGTAATAATGGACTCTGACTTAAACTTCAATAGCCACATTGGATCGGTACATCAGCAGCTTTTTACCATCTGAAAAATATTGCCAAAATTAAAAATATTGTGTCCAAAGCAGACTTGGAGATTCTTATCCATTCTTTTGTTTCCAGTAGGCTGGATTACTGCAATGGCCTGCTCACAGGTATCTCCAAACATGCAGTAAAACAGCTGCAGTACATTCAAAATGCTGCAGCCCGAGTCCTGACTAGAACCAGGAAGTACGACCACATTAGTCCGGTCCTCAGGTCTCTGCACTGGCTTCCCGTGGCCCAGAGGATAGACTTTAAAGCAGCTCTCCTGGTGTACAAGTCTCTCCATGGCCTCGCACCAAAGTACATCCATGATATGCTAGTCCCATATGAACCAGCCCGGACTCTGAGGAGCGCAGGGACGGGACTCCTGTTAGTGCCCAGAGTCAGGACTAGACAGGGGGAGGCTGCTTTTCAGATTTATGCAGCTAAAGTCTGGAACAGTCTTCCTGAGGATGTGAGACTGGCTGCCTCTCTGTCGATGTTCAAATCCATGTTAAAGACTTTTCTTTTTTCTTGTGCATACAACTAAAGAATTTTATCTTTTTAACACACCTTGTTATTTATTGTTGTAACTTTTTGTGTTTTTAACTATTTTATTGTTTTTAAATTACTTGTGTGATTTTAATGCTTTTTAATTACATATGTGTTTTTAATTGTATTTTAATGGTGATGATTTGTGCATTGTGTGGTGTGGACTGTGAGGCGCTTTGTGTTGCCCTGTGCAGGAAAAGCGCCCTATAAATAAAGATTGATTGATTGATTGATTGACTTTTACCGCACACTTGTTCACCTGGTTGCCCTCTACCACTGTGCAGAGTACCTTTCACTTTTCCTGTAGAAATTCAGAGAAAATTGGGCTCAAAGTGTGCAATTTGGTTCCCTAAGCACTTTTAAAAATAATTTTATAAATGTTTAAAAAAGTTCCCTGACTACTTTTACGACACACTGGGATGCCCTCTACCACTGTCTAAAATAACACTCACTTTTACTGTAGAAATTCAGAGATAATGTGGGTCAAAGTGTGCATAATTGGTCCCTAAAGAACTTTTTAAAAATCATTTTAAAAAGCGCTTTAGGGACCAAAATTGCACACTTTGACCCACATTATCTCTGAATTTCTACAGAAAAAATGAATGTTCCTCTGCACAGTGGTAGATGGCATCTCAGTGAACAAGTGTGCGGTGAAAGTAGTCGCAAAACTTTTTTTTTTTTCTTTTAATTATTTATTTAAAATTGCATTTTGTTTGCCCGTCATCGCCGCTTCCCTTTCCACGTTTACCGTAAGTAACAGCATAAAGGGGCCAACTGCTTTCAATGTGCGGACCTCTTTACCGCTGCCGAGGAAAAGCGGGGCCACTTCACCGAGGTCCCACCCACAGGTAAAGTACAACAATAAATTGTTGTACTTGTTGTTGTTGTATTTGGCGCAAAGTCCAATGCGCAGAACCGAGAGGACCAGACGATGCCCAAATATAGCCGAGTTCCGCTTATCTTTCAGTCCCCGTGAATGTCCCATGCCCTACTGAGAACAAGCCATTCATTGGAATAGCGCACCATCTTGGATCACCGGGGCTTGAGGGAAATCGGTTTGTGTGTGATGTGTGAATGGGGATGTGTGTTGCTTGGGTGATTTTGCCTTGTGGCTGCGCACCACACGACCAAAATGGTTAGACACTTGATTTTTTATCTCCTAATGTGAGGTCTCTCAAGTTTGGAAAATTGACCGACAATTTTAAAATTGTCTCGTGTGAACCAGGCTTTAGCTTACTTGTTGATATCCAACATTTTCTAAGACAGTTTCTCACCTGGTGGTGGGTAACAGAACTGCACCTGAAGCTCACTGCACAGACAGACGCGTTAGACACAAAGTCATAAAAAAAACAGAACATTAGCATTAGCATTATTTTAAACCAGTGTTTTTCAACTATTGTGCCGTGACTCATCAGTGTGCCTTGAGATGTTTTTTTGTGTGCCTTTGGAAATTATCCAAAATCATCTAATTGGTCAAATGTGAAGACTTTTTTGTGCTTCTTTAATGAAAATATCTTTGCATTGTTAATAAAAGCTCCAGTTTCATTTTCAGCTGGTGGTGTGCCATGTGATTGTTGTCAGTGTGCCACGGCTCCAAAATGTTGAGGAACACTGTTTTAAACCTCTGTCTGACCTCTGATCAGGATCACCATGACAACAGAAGCCATAAGCAGCTCCACTGAACGCAGCACCAGCATCAACACAGTCAGAACAGGGATCGATTCTGTGAAAACTAAAAACAGGAAAAGCTGCACAATGTTGTTTTTATACATTTCTGTTATAGTTTTTCACAGATTTTTTATATGCATGCGTTTAGGCCCACAGTGCCTTGACAAATTATCCTTATCTCAGGATGGAACCATTCCACATTTTGTCTCTTTATTAACAAACAGATTTATTGGATTAATTAACCAACACCTTTTTATGCATTGACCTACAGCAGCAAGTATCCTAAGTATCTCTGATATGATACAGAACATTTCCATGTGTCCATTTCCCTACAGTGAAGTGTTTAGGATTTCACACTGAACAAGAGCAGCGATAACTGTCACTGTGCTGCTCATCCAGCACCTGGTCAGGGAGACTGCCCAGGACTTCATCACCGACCTGTTCTCAAAGCCACAGAGAGATCTGCCAGGACTTCAGGACCGACCTGTTCTAAGAGCCAAAGAGTAAAAACGTACCATGTAAATCTTCTTCTTTGTTCTCAGTCTGGTTCCACTGGGAGGCTCCAATTGCAGAAACAAAAAAGAACACTGACTTTAAATTAAAACAAAAACTAATTCATTCATACAAAAACAAATTCTTGAATTGCATTGAAATAAATGTACACTAAAAAAAGCAAAACATTGCTGTTTCATTTGATGTTTCTTTTTTCATCCTAATAGCCTAAACATATTAAATTGTTAAGTAAAATTTTGTAAATATGATGTCTCCTTCAATCTATTTTTGTAGATATGTAGAGACAATATAAAAGTATAAAATTAAAATAAAAATAAGATTCAAATTATAAATTTGATCAAATTACTTTTATCAATCGAGCACAATTCATGCATGCGCACACATGAAATCTGAAAGAAAGTTCTGGAAGAAGAAGACATTGAAGGCAGAACTTGAGTGGACGGTTGAGGAGACTAATTTGCTGTTAAAAAGTTGATGTCTGTAATCTTAAAAGTGTGTTTCATACATTTAATAAATACTGAAAGAACGTTTGGTCTGAGTGACTTTTTAGGGAAAAAATATTGAGAGAATCTAAAATTACTAGATTACACTTTAATAAGTGAATCAGACCAAGCTTTGATGTAAAATATTTTAAGTAATTACAACTTCATTTTCCACTATTTCATATTTTTGGTTGACAAATAAGTACTGTATAACATTATCATAGCAGCCTGTACAATACTGAGTTTATTGCTTTAAGTGAAAATGTATTTATTTTGTAAGCCCAGGTCCATTAAGGACCAAACACATATATTGTGTTGATTGAAAACAAAATGTGTCAAAGCAGTGACGCTACCCAGAATGCATTGCAGATAAAAATATAAAATTCTAAAAAATTCTACATTTGAGCATTCATTTTAAGAGTGAATATGAAGTAAGTCCTGAAGCAAAATAATTGAGCAACATTTTGAATAAACTACTTAGATCAAATAAGTAATTATATTTATTTTTACCAACCGTGATCGACAGGGCCATGCCAAAGCATCCGTATACTCCCTGTGTTCCCTCAAAGACAATCAGAGGCCATTTAATGGTCACTCTGCTTTCTCAAAACAAAGTTTTAACAGAGTTGCAAGCATTATTACTTCTGAGCATGAGCGTACTTAAATTCAGGACCCCACTATATGGTGATTACAATGTCTAACAAACTTCCTCCAGATGGAAGATAAAAATACACTTGCTACAAATACATACTTCATAGAGAATAAAACTAAATTGAGATCAACTTTGTAAAAACCCTTCTTTTACACTCAAGCCAATTTAGTTTTCTTATTTACACCAAATTCAGAAAAGAGTTTGTATGAAATGCATGCATTTCTTATATTTGAGCCAATGTAAAATATTGACTTACACCAAATTAAGAAAATGAAGAAATTTAGATTGAACTGAATGCTTTCTCCACCTTAGGTCAATGTATGATCTTTATTGTGAATGTTTACTCTAGTTTTATTAAGTTGATCTAATCTTTCATTTATTACAGTGTATGCATCTATTTTTTCACTCCCTAACCTCATACCGACGGGACTGTGCGTGTACTGCCGAGTTTTTGAGGCAAGGTGCACTTTTTTCATTGAAAAAAATCTTGCGGCCCACCACCAAGAGAAAATGTCAAATATTTTGAAGCCTATTTTCACAATAAATAGTCATTTTCATCAAAGTGCTTAGGTTCTCTGTCAGCTGAGGTCACGCTGTTTTGATTTACATTGAGTTCTATGGGGAACATTTCTGGATAGCCCGGTGAATTTAGTGTGGTTTAGTCCTTAGTTCTTCAGCTCCAAGCTAGTAACACCTTATCCAGTTATTATAATAGATCCATGGGGCCAGCCCATGCTCTGCTTTGACCCCGCTCAGCGAACTGTATTTTCCCTCGTTCTGGTCCGTCAGGCGCGAGGGCTGCTGAACAGAGGGGTTGTGTGTGTCCGTGGGAACTAATTATTTTTAAATAGTATCTTTTAATTGCAAGTTTTATAATGTGTTTGTTTGATCAATGTATAAAATACAATGTCATTTAAAAGGAACCTTGGCCTGTCTTGTGCCTTGCAGGACAGTTCCCTATACTAACATATAATGCTAACATAATACTAATACTAAAATAGGGTGGCGTTGTTGCAACAATTAATCTACTTAGAAGTTATCCTAAATTACAACCAGCTAAAGCTCGGTACCACAAAAAAGTAACGCAATAGTTACTTTTACTGGTAACTATAACTAATTACTTTTTGAAAGTAACATGCCCAACACTGCTCGCCAACGGTGGATGCATTTATTTTTAGACAAAGTAGGCGAATTTCTCACTGCACGGCACACTAGTGTGCACAGTGGTTGAAAAATACTGCAATAGAATATAGTAACGGTGTTAGTTTGCTCAATCCTGAGAAATTGAATTCACTACTTTGGTCTCTGATCAACGTTCCCTACAGACCTTATAGCTAGAAAACTGCAATATACAAGAAAAGTCAGATCTATACGTTTGTCCTCATGATATGTGCTGGTTTGGTCAGAAAAAAAGAAAACAAAGTTTTGCCAGCCAGGCTGACATGTGGTGCTGATCTAGTCGTCAAATACCATTAGCGCAAGCAATACTTTGTATGTAATGTATTTTGTTTCAAAGCTGTGTTTCAACCCTATGTGTGCGGCAGGCGCGTATCTGAAGTTCCCTACGCGGGCGGCTGTACAAAAGACGTGTGCGTGTGCAGGGAGTTGACTGATTGCACACAGTGTGTTCTTACAGGTGTGATCAACCATTGATGTAAGGGGATGTGTTAAATAATCAAAAGCCAGTAGGCCGTCGCTAAATTTATTTCCTCTGATTTCATTAGTTAAGCACCTTCCTAGATATAAATACATGATAACTGAATCTGGTTCTTACCTTTTAAATTCTCGGACAAGACAAAGATTCTGTTGTGATTTAAGTCTGTGACTTCACAATGCAGTTTTAGAAATGAACCTGTAAAGGTATATTTGGCCTCAGCCAAGCACTGCCGAGTCCTGAAATCCAATCGAGTTGGGAATGGGTCGAGGAGCCGCCATCTCACTGTGAATCCACATTCAGTTGGCCCGCCATACGGAAATACTTCACAAATTGATTTAAAAAGGCCAGGAGTGCCCCTGCTCCCCACTTAGTTCATAGGAAGAAGCAGAAACACGCATGGATTTCAGCATCATTACTGTAATAATTGATAAATACTCAAAATATTGCATGAGACAAGAAGCTGAAACACATGAAATAGTATTTTCTTTTGGGGAAAGGTCCTCCGGTAGAACCCACTCTCACTTTTGTACTTGTAGTTACATTATTGTAAAGGTTGTCATTAAATGGATTTGGATAAAAATAAAGCCAAAACATAAAAACATAAACTTCAACGGACAGTTATATATAACTGTTTAAACAAAAAACACTTAAGATAAGAATATTAAATGTATAATTTTCCTCCCTGATTTGCTTTATTCCAATTAACTTTGAAAAGAGCTATAAAGGTAATAATTAAATCACATTGATCAATATACGGTCTAAAGGATTTTTTTGGGGAGCCCACATAGTAGCTATAGTCCGGCCAGAGTAATGGGAGCGAATAGGAAAAGTGTGATGTTTACATGAGTGATTAATTTCACCTGTTCATTTCTAAACATGAGAGAAAATAAGGAATAAGTGTTTATCCATCAAGTGTGCAGCGAAGCAATTGAATTGAAGCAATTACAAGCACTATTCATGAAGTTCATTAGTTCAGCTCTGCTCATACTGAAAGCCTTGTACTAATACTCACTTATCACCACGGACAGGAAGGACACGCTGGCCTGAGATTTGTTGAGCTGGTTGCAGATGTAAATCCCAGCATCTTCTGTGTCTACATTCCTGATCTGCAGTTCACAGTTCTCAGTCAGGTTTAGTCTGTGGTACATTGGACCAGGGTAAACTGAGCCAGACTGGACCAGAACCTTGAAGACATCCTGTGTTTGTTGTTGGCCAAACTGTGATTCTTCTGTGAAGGGATTAGGTCCTACTATGCCCTTCACATAGTCTTTGACGCAGTTTGTAGTTGGTGCAGTCTGGTCAACCCTGTCGTCATTTGATTGGATGGCACGTGTGTGGTGGGTCCATATGGTCTTGGAGCAGCTAGTCTGAGATACATCTCCGCAGGACAGAGTGACCAAGTCTTGAGGACCGACCACAAAGGAGTGCTGTTCCTCTGTAAGATCAAAGCACATGTTTCCAGGACATTTTCAATTTATAACAAGACTCATTGTGGCTTCAGATTTCATAAAGCATATTTTACAACTCAACAAGAAAAAATATTTAGTGGGCCTCCAAGAATAATAAAAGTTCTCAAACTATTTCAACAGAGGTTACAAAGACTATACAAACTCTATACAAACCAAGTTAAGGACTACATTTAAATAATTTTGTATTTCTAAAAGATTGCAACACTCACCAGAGATGTGCAGAGTGAGTGCTAGCAAAAGCAGTGTATGTGTTACGGTCATCTCTCCTCTCTGCTGTGATCAGAGAACAGCAGCCTCAAAACTGATAAAGCAACTCCTTTCCTTTGCATTTATCTTAAATCTGTGACGTTGACGACAAGACAAACAAAACAGCACTTGTTTCATTCTAGGTTTAGATATTGGACGCAGCTTGATAACGTGACTATTTTTGCCTGATGTTGAAAATATATTTATATTATTGTTAATTCTCACTTCTTAAATAACTCTTTTATGATAAATTGTATCCCAAAAGTAAATTGCATTACAATACATCTAAACATTTAAAATATGAATGATGTATTTACAAAGTTACTTTATTTCTTAAAACAATGACACATAGTATGGTCAGGACCAGAACCACTCCGGGAGTGTGGGGTGTCACTCAGAAGAACAGCATTTGGAGACACAGACTGCTGTATGTGAGGGTCAGTAAGATGAGTAAGAACAGTATTCCTCTGATCAGGAAGACCCCCACACTCAAGCTTCAAATCTCCACTGAAGGCAAAGGCTGAAATCCAACAGGTCATGTGATCACTTCCTCAAAACAGACAACCTTGGCCTGTATTGTTCAAAGTAATCTGTTAAATGTACTTTTTTATTCTACGTAATCTATTATAAATGTGCATGTTGTATCAATCATTCTTGATTTATATCAGCCTAGAACTTTCCATTTAAAACTACTTAATGTTTATTTAAACATTGACCCATTAACCCACAGACCATACATCCATCCACACAGGCCCCCCCACCCCCGTGATGAATATGACCATATCCACTTGGCGGCCACAACTTTATCACAATGTGTTGTGCTGGACAATAAGTAATTAACTTACTGTTTAATAATACTATCAGACAAACTGGGAAACACTATTCTGGTGTGAGATACAGTACTTTAATTTATCGAGTTGTACCGTTATCATTGAAGTCAGTTTCTGCTGACTCCAACCCAGCACTGATTCATAATATGGCCGCAAAGGGAATACAGCTATGTCACTATTAAGTGCAAAGAATAGATATGAGCTGACATGCTGAGAATTTGCAAAAAGTGCGTCATAATAAAACTAACCATCCATGTTTCTGCCACTGTCATCTATTTTAAAGGTCAAAGGTTATTTCTTCCCTGCAACTCTGAGCATAAAATATCTTATCCTCTAGGAATATCAAGATGAAGGGCTGTTCATGTGATATTTCCCACTCATCAAGCGGTATTTACCATAATTACCATAGCACTTGAAAGCACCTTAGTGTAGGAAAAATGTTGTGACTTTTGAGAGAGAGACCCCACTTGGCACAGTATTGTAAACAAAATCAGATGTGAAAGTGAGACAAGTCATTGATCATAGACTATACCAACATCAAAACATGTTCTTTATTTGCAGACAAATAAAGGTTGAAATACTGCAAGATCAAAATCTGATGGTGAATCTGTATCGTCTGTATAGACATTCAGTTCAGTGTCTGTAAACTGAGGTATGGCTACCTACAGACGCATGCGTTTTTCATCGTGTCTTTGGTCCAATCCTCCTGGTTGATAATTGTTTTTGCTAGCCCTTGATAGATTGAAGCTTAGTTATATTTCTCTGTGACTGCCGAGAGTTCTTTGGGTTTACTTGAAGACCTTGTTCGGTATTTTTGGTTAAAACAATCATAAATGCAGCAACCTGGGATTTTGATGCACTGATCCTGCGTCCTGCAGATGTAAACAACGCTGGTAAACGTGGTGGAGCCATTGCCTTGAGGCTACAAGGACGTAGGCTGTTAATGGCTCAATCAGTGGACTCAAACCAAACACTCCTCAACTCTGGTGTGAAGGTCTATATTCTGAAATCTTCTGGTGTCCTTGTATGTCTGTGGAGAAATTAGCACAGAGATGAAATATGTAACTTTTCTAGTTCTGAAAACTGATTCATGTGCCTTTGGCTTAGTTCAATAAATGAAAGTAAGAGTAATAATAGTACATGCCTTCTTGTAAAAGTATTTACAATATATTTTAGTAACCACAAAAGACTATGCGGGTCTGGTACAACAAACTTCAGGCGCCCGTCAATGTTGCTAATGCAAAATTGTTGTCTATTTCCATTAGTTCTAATTTACTGAAAACTCAATTAAAAATGTGCTTCTTGGCAGCAGTTGATTAAGCCTGGTTCACACTGCAGGATAATTAGGCCAATTTAAGACCCGATTCACCCTGACGACAATCTTAAAAACGCTCCGATTTTGGTAAAATAATCTGATGGATTCTCCTGCCATCTGTGGTGTGTTAAAACTGGGCTCGTCGCTCAGAACGACTTTGGGACTGCACCGATCTTAAATCGCGGATATCCAACATGTTGGATGTTGTTGGCCCGAATTCTCTGGTGTGTGGTGTCCCCGTTATTATAATAGATCCATGGGTGTCCTCCGGGGACAGACGAGCACATTGCCGTGTAGCCAATCAGAAGACAAGGGGACGACGCGGCAAGGAAACTCCATGGATCTATAGTAATAATAGCCTGGTTGTACCACACCTTAGTACAAATTACATTTCGTACTAAGGTCTGGATTTGCTCCATTGAGCTCCGTTTACAGGTGGGAGGGGTTAACTCCTTTTGCAGATTGAAACGATTGGATCTGAGTTCACAGTAACGTAAGTAATGCGCCCGAGTCTGTTGTTAGCATTTAGCCTAGCCATCTCCTTTGCCGCTAACGGAGCCCGTGGGGAGTAGCGCCACAATTTTTTCCACCGATTACATTTGCTAAACATTCCTCTTGCTCCTGCTTCAATTTCTTGATAGAACCAGACCGGATTACTTTACTATCGCATTCTTCGCCATTGCCAAACTACAACCTGCCCGTTCGGCGCAAACTCTTGACGTCACCGGCACCGACCTACAACACCCGCCTTCCGCGCTCTCTGAGTAGCCGGTCGAAATACGACCGATTGTATTCGCTAACACAGGGATCAGACCCAGACGCTAGATGCAGTGAAATGATGATTGAGCGGAGTGTACGGATGGCTAAGGCCAGGCCATAATAATAATAACTGGACAGGGTATTACTAGCTTAAAGCTGTCCCACCCACGGGCACAGGGGGCGCCCGTGGTACTGCAGACTAAGTTCACGTGGGCTACCCAGAAAAAGTCCCATAGAACTCAATTTAGACTAAAACAGCTCGACCTCAGCTGACAGAGAACCTACAGCTTTCATAACGATCGGATTCTGTGGGGATTTTATTGTCCCTTGTCATCTTGAACTTTTTTTCTTCTTAAATCCTTTGGTTTTCTTTAAATCCACACTTTACTGCCGCAAACTCTGCTCCTTTTCTGGCTCCACTCTAACTCTGTTCTGATCAGCAGCGCTGATTGGTCAAAGTGCGGCCGAGCCCCTCTGTGCGCGTGCGTGAAAGCCACACACGCGTATTTGCGCAACGCATCATGGGAGCTCGTCCACTGCGCAGAACCGGGAGGAACAGACGATGGCACAAATATAGGAGAGTTCCGCTAATCTTTCGGTCCCCGTGAATGTCCCATGCGCTACTGAGAACAAGCCATTCATTGGAATAGCGCACCATCTTGGATCACCGGGGCTTGAGGGAAATCGGTTTGTGTGTGATGTGTGAATGGGGATGTGTGCTGCTTGGGTGATTTTGCCTTGTGGCTGCGCACCACACGACCAATGCAAAATGGTTAGACCCTTGATTTTTTATCTCCGGGTGTGAGGTCTCTCAGGTTTGGAAAATCGACCGACAATTTTAAAATTGTCTCGTGTGAACCAGGCTTTAGCTTACTTGTTGATATCCAACATTTCCTAAGACAGTTTCTCACCTGGTGGTGGGTAACAGAACTGCACCTGAAGCTCACTGCACAGACAGACTCGTTAGACACAAAGTCATAAAAAAACAGAACATTAGCATTATTTTAAACCAGTGTTTTTCAACTATTGTGCCGTGACTCATCAGTGTGCCTTGAGATGTTTTTTTGTGTGCCTTTGGAAATTATCCAAAATCATCTAATTGGTCAAATGTGAAGACTTTTTTGTGCTTCTTTAATGAAAATATCTTTGCATTGTTAATAAAAGCTCCAGTTTCATTTTCAGCTGGTGGTGTGCCATGTGATTGTTGTCAGTGTGCCACGGCTCCAAAATGTTGAGGAACACTGTTTTAAACCTCTGTCTGACCTCTGATCAGGATCACCATGACAACAGAAGCCATAAGCAGCTCCACTGAACGCAGCACCAGCATTAACACAGTCAGAACAGGCATCGATTCTGTGGAAACTAAAAACAGGAAAAGCTGCACAATTTAGTTTTTATACATTTCTGTTATAGTTTTTCACAGATTTTTTATATGCATGCGTTTAGGCCCACAGTGCCTTGACAATTATCCTTATCTCAGGATGGAACCATTCCATATTTTGTCTCTTTATTAGCATAAAGATTTATTGGATTAATTAACCAACACCTTTTTATGCATTGACCTACAGCAGCAAGTATCCTAAGTATCTCTGATATGATACAGAACATTTCCATGTGTCCATTTCCCTACAGTGAAGTGTTTAGGATTTCACACTGAACAAGAGCAGCGATAACTGTCACTGTGCTGCTCATCCAGCACCTGGTCAGGGAGACTGCCCAGGACTTCATCACCGACCTGTTCTCAGAGCCACAGAGAGATCTGCCAGGACTTCAGGACCGACCTGTTCTAAGAGCCAAAGAGTAAAAATTTACCATGTAAATCTTCTTCTTTGTTCTCAGTCTGGTTCCACTGGGAGGCTCCATTTGCAGAAACAAAAAAGAACACTGACTTTAAATTAAAACAAACACTAATTCATTCATACAAAAAAATTCTTGAATTGCATTGAAATAAATGTATGCATCTATTTTTTCACTCCCTAACCTCATACCGACGGGACTGTGCGTGTACTGCTGAGTTTTTGAGCCAAGGCGCACTTTTTTCATTGAAAAAATCTCGTGGCCCACCACGAAGAGAAAATGTCAAATATTTTGAAGCCTATTTTCAAAATAAATAGTCATTTTCATCAAAGTGCTTAGGTTCTCTGTCAGCTGAGGTCACGCTGTTTTGATTTACATTGAGTTCTATGGGGAACATTTCTGGATAGCCCGGTGAATTTAGTGTGGTTTAGTCTGCAGTACCGCGAGAATCCCCCGAGCACGTGGGTTCTTCAGCTCCAAGCTAGTAACACCTTATCCAGTTATTATAATAGATCCATGGGGCCAGCCCGTGCTCTGCTTTGACCCCGCTCAGCGAACTGTATTTTCCCTCGTTCTGGTCCGTCAGGCGCGAGGGCTGCTGAACAGAGGGGTTGTGTGTGTCCGTGGGAACTAATTATTTTTAAATAGTATCTTTTAATTGCAAGTTTTATAATGTGTTTGTTTGATCAATGTATAAAATACAATGTCATTTAAAAGGAACCTTGGCCTGTCTTGTGCCTTGCAGGACAGTTCCCTATACTAACATATAATGCTAACATAATACTAATACTAATACTAAAATAGGGTGGCGTTGTTGCAACAATTAATCTACTTAGAAGTTATCCTAAATTACAACCAGCTAAAGCTCGGTACCACAAAAAAGTAACGCAATAGTTACTTTTAATGGTAACTATAACTAATTACTTTTTTAAAGTAACGTGCCCAACACTGCTTGTCAACGGTGGATGCATTTATTTTTAGACAAAGTAGGCGAATTTCTCACTGCACGGCACACTAGTGTGCACAGTGGTTGAAAAACACTGCAATAGAATATAGTAACGGTGTTAGTTTGCTCAATCCTGAGAAATTGAATTCACTACTTTGGTCTCTGATCAACGTTCCCTACAGACCTTATAGCTAGAAAACTGCAATATACAAGAAAAGTCAGATCTATACGTTTGTCCTCATGATATGTGCTGGTTTGGTCAGAAAAAAAGAAAACAAAGTTTTGTCAGTGTGCTGGTAGGCTGACATGTGGTGCTGATCTAGTCGTCAAATACCATTAGCGCAAGCAATACTTTGTACATGTAATGTATTTTGTTTCAAAGCTGTGTTTCAACCCTATGTGTGCGGCAGGCGCGTATCTGAAGTTCCCTACGCGGGCGGCTGTACAAAAGACGTGTGCGTGTGCAGGGAGTTGACTGATTGCACACAGTGTGTTCTTACAGGTGTGATCAACCATTGATGTAAGGGGATGTGTTAAATAATCAAAAGCCAGTAGGCCGTCGCTAAATTTATTTCCTCTGATTTCATTAGTTCAGCACCTTCCTAGATATAAATACATGATAACTGAATCTGGTTCTTACCTTTTATATTCTCGGACAAGACAAAGATTCTGTTGTGATTTAAGTCTGTCACTTCACAATGCAGTTTTGGAAATGAACCTGTAAAGGTATATTTGGCCTCAGCCAAGCACTGCCAAGTCCTGAAATCCAATCGAGTTGGGAATGGGTTGAGGAGCCGCCATCTCACTGTGAATCCACATTCAATTGGCCCACCATATGGAAAGACTTCACAAATTGATTTAAAAAGGCCAGGAGTGCCCCCGCTCTCTACTTAGTTCATAGGAAGAAGCAGAAACACGCATGGATTTCAGCATCATTACTGTAATAATTGATAATTACTCAAAATATTGCATGAGACAAGAAGCTGAAACACATGAAATAGTATTTTCTATTGGGGAAAGGTCCTCCAGTAAAACCCACTCTCACTTTTGTAACATAAACTCCAACGGACAGTTATATATAACTGTTTAAACAAAAAACACTTAAGATAAGAATATTAAATGTATAATTTTCCTCCCTGATTTGCTTTATTCCAATTAACTTTGAAAAGAGCTATAAAGGTAATAATTAAATCACATTGATCAATATACGGTCTAAAGGATTTTTTTGGGGAGCCCACATAGTAGCTATAGTCCGGCCAGAGTAATGGGAGCGAATAGGAAAAGTGTGATGTTTACATGAGTGATTAATTTCACCTGTTCATTTCTAAACATGAGAGAAAATAAGGAATAAGTGTTTATCCATCAAGTGTGCAACGAAGCCAAAAGTGTTGAGGTTTGGTAATTGAAGCAATTACAAGCACTATTCATGAAGTTCATTAGTTCAGCTCTGCTCATACTGAAAGCCTTGTACTAATACTCACTTGTCACCACGGACAGGAAGGACAGGCTGGCCTGAGATTGGTTGAGCTGGTTGCAGATGTAAATCCCAGCATCTTCTGTGTCTACATTCCTGATCTGCAGTTTACAGTTCTCAGTCAGGTTTAGTCTGTGGTACATTGGACCAGGGCAAACTGAGCCAGACTGGACCAGAACCTTGAAGACATCCTGTGTTTGTTGTTGGCCAAACTGTGATTCTTCTGTGAAGGGATTAGGTCCTACTATGCCCTTCACATAGTCTTTGACGCAGTTTGTAGTTGGTGCAGTCTGGTCAACCCTGTCGTCATTTGATTGGATGGCACGTGTGTGGTGGGTCCATATGGTCTTGGAGCAGCTAGTCTGAGATACATCTCCGCAGGACAGAGTGACCAAGTCTTGAGACCTGACCACAAAGGAGTGCTGTTCCTCTGTAAGATCAAAGCACATGTTTCCAGGACATTTTCAATTTATAACAAGACTCATTGTGATTTCAGATTTCATAAAGAATATTTTTACAACTCAACAAGAAACAATATTTAGTGGGTATCCAAAAATAATAAAAGTTCTTTATCTATTTCAACTTGAACCACAGAGATTACAAAGACTCTATATACAAACTCTATACAAACGAAGTTAACGACTACATTTACATAATTTTGTATTTCTAAAACAATGCAACACTCACCAGAGATGTGCAGAGTGAGTGCTAGCAAAAGCAGTGTATGTGTTGCGGTCATCTCTCCTCTCTGCTGTGATCAGAGAACAGCAGCCTCAAAACTGATTTTCTGATTGAAAAGCAACTATTTTCTTTTGCATTTATCTTAAATCTGTGACGTTGACGACAAATAGACAAACATAACAGCACATGTTTCATTCTAGGTTTAGATATCGGACACAGTTTGATTAGGTGACACAGATTGATCTTACATTGATTACTTATATATTAGGAACTTTTATTCAAAATGGGTAGTTCTATGCGTCCAATGCGTCCCATAGTTAAGTGACTACCGGTACTAGCTCCATTTTGTGTCTATACAGTCCAAAACATACACAGCAGGCCTTGTCAAAGTGGGCATCCGAGGGCACTAAGGTGGCTATTACTATTGGATGCAAGTGGATTATATTACTCAAATTAACAACATTAAACCAGATTAACAGAGTTCCTGGCTTAAACTGAAACATTTTCTAACAGGAAAAAATATGATCGCAAAGAAGACACAGAATCCAATGTTTCTGAAAACTGCAGATGCCTTGAACACGATCAGTTTGTTTTTGATATTGAGCCCTGTTGAAGTGATGCAAGAAGAACTTTCCCTCCTCTACTGATCGGGGATGAAACACACAAACAATTTAAAACACAAAAGCTTGTTGCCTCAGAGTGGGATTGTGCGTTTTAAATGAATAAGCACAAATCTATTTTAAATATGATTTATTTCAACAAATCAGATAATATCAACAAAGAATTAGTTTCATTCAGAAAAATAACGTACGATCATGAGTCGATAAAGCCAATATCTATATTTCATCTAGATGAGATGGCTCAGACCAAAGACATCAACCCTGATGTCCATTTATTTACTCTGACGTCCTCCATTGTCCACGTGTCTCTGTGGAGAATGCAAATGATTCATTTACTCAAACTTTGCAAACCATGCAGTCTGAACTCTTCTGCGACGACAGTGTTTTTTAAAAAGATGAATATACGACCAATGATTTTCTGCAGGGTTCCGGTCAACTGAGAGACTCATGTGAGGCTTATTTCACTTTCTGATTGGATACTCAGAAACTTGAGACACAAAACACCAAAGGAGAGTGTGCTAAGTTTCATTGTTTTAAAAAAAATAAATAATAATAACAATGAATGAGAATGAAGTTGTCATTTGAAAAGATCATTTCATATGAACATATTTATCTTCCTGGCGACAAAAGGAGCTGACCAATATGATATTCCCAAAAAATTGTGCTAAGGGAGATTAGAACCATAACATTGTTAACAAAATTCCATTTTAATCTCACTGCAAATACAGAAAACAAACAGAAAAGTTGTAAACAAAAAACCATTTATTACACTACAGTACATGTTAAACCAGTTTCTTACCTCGGATCAGTATCACCATGACAACACAGGCCATCACAGAACGCAGTATCAGCATCAGAAGAGCCACAAGTGCGACGACGTCTGTGGACAAAGAACACCTACAATTCACTTACAAGTCTTAACAAAAAAAAGAAAATTACACCGCAATCTGGAAGGACTGGAGGAGGAGGGTTGTGGCATTGGCCACAGTAGAAAAGTATCATAGGCAGAAGAAATAGGCAATACCAGTCTAAACCTTAGCTCCATACTGTAGTAATAGTGGTAATTCAGTACTATGTGTCTTGACACCCAAGGAAACTTTCCAGAGATAAGAAAACGCACAATTAAAAACAACATTGCAGATGGAAGAAAAATGAATAAGAATCAGCCGTAGAAGGATGGACTGAATTTTTTCTGGTAGAAAAAGCAGACATTTTAACCATATGCAGCAGTGGCTCTGGACATAGATGCTATAAATGTAAATGATAGTTTACAATCCAAATTGCTAATCTTTTACATAGCGTGAAGCTGTCTGCATTTTCCATACACATTTTATTAGCTTATAAATATCTTGTTATTAAAGGTATATAAGAAGATTTTCTCAAATTTTAGGAAAGAATCGTCCTCCTCAGAGGCAACGCATATTAAAACGTGTCTCGCATATCACCAGAACGATTGACAATTAGGAGGACCAATAGTCTAGCTGGTCCACCTGGAAGAAGAAAATCCTCCCATATATCTTTGATTGTTTTATGAAGAGTTGAAGAGGTACCATGTGCTTCTTCTTGTCCACTCTCAGTCAACTGAGGTCCTGTAAAAAAACAAAAAAACAACTGATGAGTCCATTGATTACTTATTCAATGTTATTACTGTTAGTAACCCTGCACATATGTACTGTTTTTGACTGTGAATATAATAATGAATTATTTTGAGTGACGCTAATAACTCTGTTCTGTACAATTCTTGCGCTATATTTTGACGTTAAGTAGAGTGCTTCTCACCTGCAGCGTCCAAGACAAAAACCTGGTTGCGGTTCAAGTCGGTGACCTCACAGCTCAGATGCGGAGAGGTACCCTCAGTGTATGTGACCTGAGCTGAACACTCCATAGCCCCAAACTGGAAACGGCTTCGTTCTGAGTCCTGGACCAGCCACTTCACCATGTATCCACAAGTTCTGTCGTTTTGGTACGGAGTGACAGAACAGACCCACCTTCTATAAGAGCCTACAGTTTGGTTTGAAACTGGAAAATGAGAAAAGTGGAAACCATTAATTATGCAAACCTTGATCTGTGCATGAAAAGGCAATGTCCCTTAATTGTTCTTCAATCAAAAACACAGACCTGTGCTCTTTAGGGAATGTGCAAATGTTAATTACTTATGGCTGTGAGTTTACAAGAACCTTTCACAACTTTCAAAGTGCAGTTTGCTGTCTCTGTGAGCTCAGTTACCTTTATTATCCAGCTTTGATAGCAACTCAACAAGGAATTACAAAACAGGTGAAATAATAGCCCAGCATCGCTTTCAATACCTACTTGTGATCACAGTCAAGATGTTCTCTGAGCGCTGTCCTCGGGCGGCCTCAGAGCTGTTCTGTGATTGGCCGAGCTGGTGACAGCCATACACTCCAGCGTCCATTGGTTTCACATCATGGATCTGCAGCTCACAGTTCTCAGTTAGGTTCATTCTGAGATCTATAGGATCATCCTCGTCATTCATTTTCGAGAAAACAAAAACATGTTCGGGACGAAGGCCTTTCTTGCTTTTTCTGGCTTGGGTCCAGGTGCAGTTGGTGTGAGTGACATTTCCACAAGGCAGAGTCACAGTGTCCCCTGATCTGACCACAAACTGCTGCTCTCCTAGTCATGAAAGACACAAATTATTGGTTGAAGTCTGAAGATTTAAACTATACCACACATAAATCATATCAACCAATGAACCAGAATGTGGACCGTCCTGAGGTTTTCTGTATTGTTGTGATTTAATTAATACTTGTTGGTTTTGCAAAAATGTAGACCTGAGTAATAGGCCATCTTCTCATAAGTTCAAACATTGGTGCTTGAGGTGAAAACATATTGCGAAATGTGTCCTAGAATGAATATCAAATATCATAATCTGATGCAACTGATGCTCAGGCTGTGGTTTTCCTGACTAAGATAAGAGTGAGATAAGAGTTACATGGCCTCACCAGGAAGCTGCTTTTGATGAAGATTTGCACAAGGAGTCGTGACCTTAAGATATCATGCAAAAGCAAGTGTTTATTTATTTCAAAGAAAATGCTTCTCATCAAATTAATCTAAAAAAGGCAACTTTGAGTAAATAGGATACATTAATAGCACAAACGTTATAACTAGTCTGCAATTGTGATTTGGGTCACAGACATCTTTTGACAGAAAAAAAAGCCAATTATAGTTAAATAATTTACAAATCTCCCTAGAGATCCAACAAAATGAACAGATGCCACATATTTACACAATTGCACTGCTTGTTCAGTAAGTTGTGATTAAAACCACCCCACAATATTCAAAGTTCACTGCATCTGTACAATCAGTACTGGGGAGAGTGAATGCAATCATAGTTTAGTCTATTTGACTCATTTTTGAAATTTACCATTTGTAGGATTGCTGCCGTTTTGGTCTGCGTCCAAAACTCATATGCGGATTTTAAGTACATTTTCAGCAAATCTCTAATGAGACAAGGTATGAATGCTATTAATGATGAGACAAACATCTTGTTCGCTGACATATTTTTCTTTTTAAAGGAATGGAACAGTGCCTCTTGGCAGAGGTCTGCACTCTACATAGTTTTATAGTTAATGACAATTGAGGTAAACTATTAAGCTGGATCAGAAATAATCTAACCAACCAACCTCAAACTGTAAAACAGAGCTTTCCCTGAGATATACCCAGTCTGTTCAAGAGTGCCTCAGGGATGTGCTTTGGCACCAACATTATTTGTGATGTCTGTGAATGACATATCTCAGCTGATTCACTTCAAATCCATTTTCAAATAATTCTTGTACTGCCCAAAATCACAACAGAATTCATCTCTGAGGACTTTACAAAGTTGTCAATATGCCAACACAGATCAGAGAATCAGACAGTTCAAACACAGACAATGCAACGATAAAAGACACATAAGGGTCACATAGGTCCATAAGGGGCAGACGACCAATGTCCATAAATGTTGTTGAATGTCCTGGATCCTAATAACTGGCCTCAGACCCTTCTGCATTGTAAAGGAACAACTAAAGAAGTGATACACGTCAGGCAGGTTCACATTAAGGGAATAAATTCCAAATCTGGCTTGAATGACTGAATTTACAGATCAATTATAGTGACTCTTTACTCTATGTGTATATTTTCATCAGATGAGCTTCCTTTTTTGGTTTTGAATAATAAATGTATTTGGGACAAGGGATCACTGATGATCTGTGATTTGATAAACCTGAGAAGGTGACAAAGAAATACTGTCCCTTTTTGTTACTAGCATGGACCTCCTTCTGTAACTGTCATATCCACCTTCATTTGAGTATGCCTCCTCAGTTAATCCTTCACTGACGGCCGTGGACAACTACAGGTCAGTCCACCAGACCACAGGAGGGACTTTGCATTTTCTTTAACACACAAAGCGCTTCCCCGAGCCCTTCAGCCTGTGTGTGCATTTGTCACGGCATCTGCGTTTTCAATCTGCAACAAAACGTTTAATTCCGCCAGATAACATTGGATTGCTCAGCTTTAATAGAATTCATTCCAATAAAGCTTTCAAACTATGTGCCTCCCTCAACAGTTTAAGAAAAGTTTAATTAAAAAAACAGCAGAAGGAACATTTTAACCTAATTTTTTATCTTTCTTTTTTTTTTAGCTATGAACATGCTTTTGGTACGGCAATGGCAAAAATACACTTAATTGACTGAGCAGTAGATGTGTGAAGCATCATCTCTGCATTACCCTTAGGACATGGTCTCATTGGTTTGGTATGTTTACATTCATGCTTCATCATATCTCTTCATTAACAATTGCACAATCACAATTAAACACATGAATATATAAATCCTGGAACATTGTGTTTTTGACCAGTTCAATCTACTGCATTCACTGTCACGCATTGTTTCTTCAAACTACAGACTTTTTAGTACTACTAGTAGTAAGTAAGACTACATTTAAAACATGATATATATATTTTTTATTTTATTGTTTTTTTGTTCAGTGATACTCACCAGAGATATGCAGACTCAGTGCGAGCAGGAGAAAGCTGCGAACAACCCACATGTTGCTTTTGCTGTGAGCTGGTCACAGAACTCTGATAAACAACATTGTATCAAGGGTCAAATCAGTAGCTTTTATTTGTAACCAACCAAAGATACACAAATTCCCACGACCTTACAGGTTTTTTACATGTTTTTCTCACATGCTTCACGTAAGATAAAGTTTAAGGCAGTGGCATGGACGTCATATGGAAATGCAACTAGTGATAAATGACAACTTACCAGTAGTTTTTTTTTCAATAATAGTGTAACCTATGTAATATTTGAGGGTTATAATTGTATAGCATTTTAGTTATAGATTAATTGTTCATTGCTACACTTGATGTACAGGATCAACATATAGGCTACCGTATTTGAATATTATTAGATTTTAAGATTGAAACAGCAGTTACATTACAAACTATGAAACAAAAAATATGTAGAAAACAAGGGAAAACAATAATAACTGTAAAGCTATGAACACTCGATTTTGCATGTTCCTTTTAGTAATGTAAAACAAAATAGCTATTACACATTTTTGTAAACCTTGTCTTTTGCCCACCTGGGGGCACTGTTGCTCTGCACAGTCTTACAGCCTGTGTGCTCCTCAGAAATCAGTACTGAGCTGAATAAACTCGAGGCAGGGATTTTTCTGTTTGCAGAAGTCACTGCCAATACCCGTGTGTTACTGTTTCATATAAAGGACATGTAAGGCGGCAGATAACATGTTACAGTCATAGATTTATACAAAATAATTGCTTTTTACACATTGAAATGCAAACGATGACCTTTTGAAAAAGATCAAGAGTGGACACTTTCTTTGAAGTTTGATGATTTCATGTTTTTATAAATATGCCTTGATACATCTGCAGTTTCAACAGCCCAATGAGTACAGCACTGCCATCTACTGGTGTCCATTGGAATTGTACTACCCAATTTAAAATGTCTTTGCTATTTAGAGTCTATGGTTTGCCATGCACACATTAGATTAGGGACTCAATATGAACAGAGCAATATATTGGAATAAAAATTACCTGTAGGGGGATCAAAAACCTGGAGCATGGTTAAAATAATGAAAACAGTTAACATTTTGACATAATTGTTTGTCTTCCATCTTTCAGTGGATCAGTGCTGCTTTTACGCCGTAACTATCACTGATTGAGATGGCAGCGGCCTGTTTTCCCGCTCTATATGTGGATGTAAATGTGGCGGTCGTAGGTCTAATGAAGGCTTCGTCCTCTCCTGTCACGCTGACTTTGGGCCCCGCGTTAGCCCCCCTCCCCCTTTAGGAAAGCATCTCATTCGGATTCATTTATGTGGAGATGCAGAGGCTGTATGAAGAAAAGCAGCTCCATGGCAGATAATTGGGCCGACCTTCATTTTGATATGACTCTGGTGAGGTCGACCTGCTTGTTTTTCAGGACACAAAGATATACATTTATTTTTGCATTCCACAATGTAATAACAACTTCAATCTCTACTTATACAAGACGGCATATTGTCCATTTCTGTGCTGTTTCATTATTACTCATGACAATTTTTTAAATCTCAATAATTAAAAGGTGCAATATGTAAGATTTTCATGTCAAGTCATCATTAAATGGCCCTAATCTTTCAAAAGGCATTAATAAACCATGCTCTAAACGAATACTTCTTAAACTGATAACAGTAGTTCAGTCAAGATATTTTAATTTCAAAATCAGTTTTACAACCTCTAAATCTTATTATTGTTTTCATTTCGATCTTGTCAATTTATGGTCCCAGCTGGATTCGTCTGTATCTGTGTGTCACAGGTTTAAAAGTGTCTGTTGAGGGGGTGTGATCATAAAAAGGGAAACTGGATAAAAAGGGGATAAAATTTAATAAAATATTTACAAAAGGGATCCATAAAAGATGATTAAAAGCCCAGAGTCCGTCCCCACTGTCCTCCGCTCTTCTCACCCGGGACCGGGCCGCAGTTCCGCCAGCCACTAGCCGACCACGGGTCGGCACCGGGCACCCGCGGGGGAGAGCCGGCCACATCCCGGTCGTCGTTGGGCCTAGCCCGGGCTCCCCCCCGCTCCCCCCCGCTCCCCCCCCGCTCCCCCCCGCTCCCCCCGCTCCCCCCGCTGGCCTCAGTGCACCGTGGTCTCTGGCTGGCGGTGCTCGTCCTCGTCCTTGGCCCGGTCCCGCGTCTCTTTTCTCTCTCTCTGTTCTGTCTTGCAGTGCCCGCCCCCAATTAAAAGGTCTTGATTAAAAGCAGGTGCGGGTGATTAGGGGAAGTGTCCAAGGAACTGTGATTAAAATCCATGCATTAAAAATATAAAAACACAAAACACATCACACAAATAAAAGCAGTTAAAAGTCCTTGTTAAAAGTTCACTTTCCCACATGTGTAATGATTAAATCACTGCCACTGTAATCACAACAAAGTGCCAAAACAAATTTAATTTGATAAAAT